GGGCGTCGGCGCGGGGCTCCCGGCGGGTCCCGCGGCTCCCGGTGGGCGGCACGGCCGGAGAACGGGGACAATTCCCACCCGCTTCCCCAAGAGGAAACGCGACCCGCGCGCAGGCTCCCCCTGCCTCCCCCCTGCCAGAGGCAGTGGAACTGTCCTCCCCGCTGGGGGCTGTTGCACCGGGCGCCACCACTGCGGGAGCCAAGGGGGGGAAGGGGTTGCGCGGAGCCGCGGGGTCGCGCTGGGGAGGGGCTCTCCCCGCCTGCTTTCCCACCCTCCCGCTCTCCTCCTGCCTCCCGGGAGCTTCTCCCCGCGGTGTGGCACCGCTGCATCCCCGGCTTGTGGGCGGCGGGTGCTCCCGGTGCGGCGCTTGCCGGGTCCCCGGGACGCCTCCGCCTTTAGGATCAGCCACAGTCGCGTCTCCCCCGCCGCCGGCTCCCCTCTGGGAGCCTCTGACCGTGGCGCAGCATCTTTGGGGCTTATCCCGGGGGCAGGCGGTCAGTGCACAGGGACATCCCCTGCACCCATCCCGTGGGCTCCGCAGGCGTCCCTGGAAACGCCTCCGAACCCAGGTGCCCTTTGGAGTGTGTTTAGGTTGGACATTAGGAGGAATTTCTTCACCGATGGGATGATTAGTTGCTGGCATGGGCTGCCCAGGAAGGTGGTGGAGTCACTATCTCTGGAGGTGTTTAAGAAAAGACTGGATGTGGCGCACAGTGAGTGGCATGGTCGAGTTGACTTGGTGGTGTTCGGTCATAGGTCGGACTCGATGTCAACAGAGATCTTGTCCAACCTAATTGATTCCCTGATTCTCAGTAATTCTCTGTACAACGAGGCCAGAACCTCGGGCAAGCCAGGAGGGCTTAAATCTGCCAGGAAGGCGCTGCCTGCCCTGCTTCCAGCTCCCCCATGGATGGAGGGCCTTGCCCAGGGCTCCCCAGCTCCTGGCAGTGGGGCCTGGAAGGGTGAGGGGCAAGAGGCTCCCAGCAGCGTGTGCCAAGTGCCTGCCATCCCAGATAACTGGGCAGGCCGCGGGCTGTGCTCCCATGCCGGGCTTGGCCCAGGGCTGCCTTCCAGGAGCCCTGGCAGAGCCATTAGATGAGCCGTGGAGATGTGTGGGAGGCCTGCATTTGTATCCTAAGGCTTTTGGCCTATCTGGTCCCTTTTTTCCAGAAATCATTTCATCCAGGTGGGATTTACTGGGGAAAAACCAAAAGCATCTTCCAGCTCTTCTTTTCTTTAGGCAGGCGTAAGTTCAGATTTATCAGTGGAAGTTACAGGTGCCCCAACTATGGTTTCTTCTGCTCTCCTTGCTGCCCTGGTACGGATGCAGACATGTGAGCCAGGCTGAAGAAATGTCCAGGCTGAAAAGAATTACAAATACCTTTTTACATAATGCTGGAACTATCCATTCTGGATAGTCGATTCATTATATCATGCTGCATTTGGTTTACCCAAGTTTCCAAACCATTGCCAAATTGGAGCTTTTTTCTTTTTTTTTTTAAAGAGTAGTTAATAGCAGCAAGTATTAAGTTTAGCTTTAGTTTGGTGGAGCATAGACTTAAAATCTTAGTGTGTCAAATCACAGCATTAATATAATTTCTGTCAGCACTGAAGCATCATTAGAAGATACGTTTTTGTAAAACCAGATGGGGTTAATTATACTTCCTGGTTGTTATGCCCTTGGATTTCCTCCCCACAATCCAAATTTAATTTAAAAATGGATTACAGCTTGTAAGTCTCTTCTAAGCATTGTTAGTTTAAAAACTAATTGGCTCTACCTTTTAAAAGTGATTACTGACGTGGGTAAGATTTTTATCTATAAGGAAGTAGCTAATTTAAATGATTGCAGTGGCAGGAGGTATTAACTGTACCTTGAAGAAATGTTATGCAATTGAAGACATCTCTGGCTAGAAAAAAAATATGAACCAAAGCATTGGTGGCAGTGGATTCAGCAACTCATTCCTTTATTAAATGAGCAAAATTATTACAAAAGTACTTATCCTGTATCTCATTCCCTAATCAGCAGAAGAACACAAACTTTCACCAATTAAAACACGTTTCTTTAGGGTATTTAGATCAATGCAGTGGCCTCAAAGGTGCTGCTGAATGACCAATACCCACCAGAGAGATGCCAGCCATAACAATCTACCAATTTGAAAAAGGATTTTGTAGAAGCTACACATTTGCTGGTGTCTCATGTTGTGTCATGCCTTTGTGCAGAGAAATCCCATTTGTAGTTGTGTGCTGTTCTCTTTGCTGGCTCAGATGCAGGCTTAGTCATTCCCTGACCTGGGAATGCAATGGAGTGGCCTGAAGGAACTCTCAGGCCTCAGAGGAGTGCGGATGGATGAAAAACTGCCTGTGCCAGGAGACCTTGGACAGGCTAACTCCTAAATTTTGCAGGATAGTCCTTGGTCCAGGTCAAAACTGTTACAAATATTGCTACTGTTGTAGGAGTATAGCAGTGGGGAAGACAGAGGGGCTAACACAAATTATACGCAGTCTATTCTGGTCCAGTTTAATTTACTGGAAGAGCCTTAATCTTAGACCTTTCTATAGGGTATTTTTCAAGAAAGTCCTTTGTGTGAAGTTCCATCACTATTCAGAGCAAAATCTTCTTTTACCAGCTTCAGTGGAAAATAGGGCTGATGGAAATGCTGCCTTATTTATTAAGATTTGCTAGATTTCTTTGCTGATACTGAACTTTTCCTCCATTTTTGCTTTTGCTAGTCTGCCAATGCTCTTTGTGTCAGAGTTCAGTATATTACATGAAGAGGATCAGCTGCCATTTCAGACTGAGTGCCTACCTGTCAGCTAAAGCACAGAAAGACTTTTTGATTGTGATTAGATAAGCATTAATGTATGATTAGTTTTTTCTAGAATGAAGGATGATTATGAGGGCAAGAGAGCATCTTATTTTCAAACACTTGGAGCTCCTTTACAGCCTTCTTTGAGAAGGCTGTAAAATTTAACTGAAACTTTTGTATGTGTAGTGTTTCCTAACATTGTAATTATTGTCTTCTGACACAGTGCTGTTTGATACATCCCTCCAGCTGGAGAACACACTGTTTCAGTTCTTAAATTAGAATGAGGGTCACACTGAATCATCTCCTCTGTTTTGTTTCAGAAAATGTCAGCTTACTGTTCAAGCTGTACTGCCTCATGGTGATGACCCTGGTTGCTGCCACGTACACGGTGGCACTGCGGTACACCAGGACAGTGGAGACAGAACTCTACTTTTCAACGACGGCTGTGTGTGTCACTGAAGTTATCAAGTTGTTCCTGAGCGTGGGCATCCTGGCTAAGTAAGTGTGGGAGTGCTGATCAGTGTTTTGAAAACCAGTCCTTGCTTCTAACCTCAGATTCTCGGGTACTGACGTGCAGGTATGTTTGAGAATGTGGCTGGATAATCATGCTGTGGAAGGGTAATTTTAGAGCGGGTTAGAGCTTGTGAGTCCTCATCAACTGAAACTGCTTTGTATACAGCACAATATTCAGGTGTGTCCTTTCTACATATTTTCTATTGTATGCTTTGTAATCAGTTCAGAGTGTCAGCATGGATTATCCACGATGTTTTGGGTCTTTAAAATGTTGGTATAGATGAAAGTTGGATTTTCATCATCTTCTGTGAGCCATCGTCTGCTGAGTTACATAAAATTCTAATGTTCCTACCAATAAGTTTTCCCAAACAATGTTACAGAGAGACATTTTACTTTCTCTAGTAATGTGCAAACCAATGCTGAAAGACTGTGATCAAAAAAATATTAGTTTCAGTAATTCCAGACTGCTGCTAAGAACTAGAACTTTAGTCCTTGCATGAGCATCTCAAGTAAGGAGTCTATCAGTCTGCTGCCTTTTCTCTCAGCTGCCCTGTGCTACATCCTTCCTAGGAAGAATCTTTAGATTGTGGACTTTTCCAAAGCCCTGTTCTTGCTCCTGTGGTAGAATTTGTTCTTTTAGGGCCTCTATCTCTCTTTGTGGCTTTGTGGTATGTCAGAAGGCTGGCTGTTATGTGCTAGAGGATCACTGAGTCACATGATGTGCTTCAGATTTTCATCAGCTCTTTTCCTCTTTAACATACAAATGGCATTTTACTTGCTTTAGAAGTGAGATAATACCAAAAAAAATTGGTAAGGCAACTATGAAAAACTGACTTTTTTTTTAACCTTTTATTAAATGAAATGTGTTAGAGAAGGCAGGTATGACCAGGGGGGAATTTCTCTTTTTCTTTTCATTCACCCTGGGCTCCTCATTCTGTCAGCACAAAATGCTGGCAGAAATGACTCTGCTGACACATGGTTCTGCTGTGGTTCTCACTGTTGTGACCAATGAGGATTCCACTGGATTTCTGGAGACTGTAGGAATCCACACTTCCCCATAGTGAGAGACCTCTGGGTAGCCTCACCTGTGTGTATAATTTGTCCAGTCTTAAGCACCTGGCACCCAGGCTGTTTATAGTACAACTAGTGCAGCAGGGTAAGCAATCCCTTTTGTTAAGGGTCTGTAATATTGTGTTCATTAAATGTATGAATGGTCTTTTTTACTTGAAATAATTAAAAACTAAATTACTTTTAACTCAGAAAGAAGTCTTAGTATATTGATGTTTTTGGAACAGGCCTGCACAGCAAAAAGGCTCTGTATCCCATTATCTTCCCTTTGTCAGCAGAGGATGTGTAGAATGGAAGTGTAGCCAAGGGGGCAAGCATGGGCTGAGCTTTCCTTAGCAGGTGGCAGAAAGTTATGGATGCTGTTGTCTTAAGTTGACAGATATGATGAATAATCTTTCCTCCTTCATTTTGCTTTTCATATCTCTACAGATCTGTGTTTTCATCACTAATTTATTTTCTAAGCCAGGCGTCTTAGTTTAATTTTTCTGGGAACATCCTTAGAGCACTTCCAGTATTGTTACATCCCTTTGGAAACAGGATCCAGAGCTGCATGCTGTGTTCAGGATGTGAACATGCCATGGCATTAGGCAGAGGGGTGAAGGTGCTTTCTCTCTTGGCCTCAGTTCCTTTCCTAAGGATTCTGCTCATTTCTTTGAAGCTGATACCATCCTTGAGCTGGTGCCATCCAAGAACTACTTGCATCTTTTTGACAGGTGCCCACAACTAGATGAGAAAGGGTTGCTGTATGTAGAGGTTATCATTTCCTATGGTTCTTTCTCATTTATTAACACCTGAGCCTTATTTGCCAGTTAAAATGGGAAGAGTCAGATTCATTGAGCTGTTTGGAGGTTATAATATCTATTCTGATCTGGTCAGCTGGTGGGGTTTTTCTCTCCATAGCTGAGGGAGGGATGGGCACCAGCAGACATCATTCATCAGGCCAGCTCATCTCTCCTTGGTAGAATGTCTGGCATGCTGGTGGGTCCAAAGGTTGCCAACTTTCAAGTAACCTTCCCTTAAAGATATTCTGTTATGAATATGCTGAAAAGCATCAATTCCAGCATGGCTTCTTTCTGTGTCTCCTTTACATCTTCCTTCAGTTTTAAATCCTAACCAATTTGTCTCACCCAAGGCAAGGTGCCTTTGTAGTTCAGTAACAAGTCAAAAGATAGAGTACCATCTGTTTTTACTGTACAGCAGGATACATTTGTGTGGGTACCTTTTCTTTTTGAAAGAGACAGCATTGGTAACTGCAGTATACAGGATACTAGAGTACAACTCTCACACTGGTCCAGCTGCTGAATTTGTTTTCTTGCACATTATTACATGATGCCTTCACTGTTTACTCTTAAGGTATCTCCTGGAGTGCACATTGAATGGATGAATGCCAAAGAATTGTCTTTCAAAAGAGAAGCTTATGATAGTTTAAGCTGTGGTAATTGTTAACTCAAGTGTACCCTCCATTTCTCATGTTTATTTAAAGTCCTGTTCACCATCTGGTAATAGCATTTGCTACATACTTAGCTGGTACATAACTGCTTAGCAATGGATGAAGAAAAGCAGAGCTGTTTTGCAAACTAGTTTTAACTTCAGCTTTTCTAACAAATGTGTTTTTCTGTTGCATAATTGATAGTTATTAGTATCTGTCACCTCTTCATACCTAGGAATTGCCTTTGTCAATGGGGAAATGAATTTATGAGAGGGGAAATGGCTTTAAAGTGAAAGAAATTAGATTTAGGTTAGATATTAGGAATGAATTCTTTAGTGTGAGGATGGTGAATCTCTGGAGCAGGCTGCCCAGAGATGTGGTGAAAGTCCCATCCTTGGAAGTGTTCAAGACCAGCCTGGATGGAGCTTGGAGCAAACTGGTCTAGAGGAAGGTGTCGCTGCCCGTGGCAAGGAGGTTGGAACAAAATGGTCTTAGGGTCACTTCCAACCTGAACCATTCTACAAAGAAAATTTATTATGTTTTAAAATTCAAACCTAGATCAACATCAAGAAAGCTGAATTCAATATAGATACATTTATTCTATATTGAATATAGATATATTCAATATAGATCATTTTCATTTTTGAATTTAATCTTGCAGCATACTTCTTTGGGCACCTAATTTTGCATTATCAGCTGTACATTTAGGTTTGGTTTAAGTTATTTTTTGGCCATGTACTGAATTCAACTTATAGTTAGAGATTCTTGGTAAGTGCATGCTTCAAAAGCACATCCACTGCACAGATGAACTATTAGATAGTTCATCTTCTTGTTCTCAAAAACTAAGGGAAGATGGTGATTATTAGACGTGTTCTTCATTGCTGAAATTTGCTTCTAGAAGTCAAAATAGACAGTACTGTTGCTTCTGTGACATTGAAAATGTGATCAGCAGATTGACCAAGCATGGTCTGGAACAGAAACAGGTATAGTTTAAATACTATTTTCTTGTTTGACAGCCCACCTTAGTATCAATGAATAGAACTGTGGGTTTTTTTTGGGTTTTTTTATTTCTTATTTTCATGGAGTAGAACTGTGTCTGTGCTAAATATATTTTATTTTCAATTAAACATTTGAGACAGAATCTCTTGAGTCCAGCTGCACTTGAGTATTACCCAATTTTCTTGCATGTCTTATCTCCCAGTCCTAGACAATGTAGTAAATACATTCAGAAATGGAACAAAGCAAAAAAAAAATGCCCATAATATCAATCACTCCTAACATTTTATATAGTTTTGTATTTAGTGCAATTAACCATGGTGAACTATTGCAGGAACTCTTCCCCTTTCTTGTATTGCAGACTTCACTTTAAGTGCTACTTGTCCATGGATTTTCTTGTTGTGATTGTTCCAGACATGTCTGTTTTTTTGTGTGTGCTTTCTGTTATGGAAAAATACAAAAAGAATCCCTTGCAGCTTCCCGCAGCACTCCCTACCGGGGGAAATAAAAACCAAAACAACAAGGAAAGGAAGTAAATGCTTTGTGGAAGAACGGAGGTAGGCAAGGAAAGGCAAATTTGGATGGAAGGATCATGAGAGGGTAAAATCTGTGAATCTCTGGAGAGGAAATGTTTAGGAACTGGAGTACAGAGTAGGGCTGATGTGGAAAGGAAGATACGCTGAAACAATGTGGTTAAAGCTATTTATTCATACAAGTAGGCAGTAGAACCCCAGGGAGAGTTAAATTTAAGAGCAGTACAGTTTGCAAGTTGCAAGGCCTGTGGGAGGGGGCAGGAATGATTTTGGATGTTGATATTTGTCAGTGCTAAGCAAGAGAAGATTGGAAAATGGGGGCCATGGGAGAACTGGGAAGAGGACTGGAGCAGCAGCAACAAGTAAGCAGCAAATGTCAGATTGATGTACAGGTGATAAGGGAGAACCAGTAATGCAGCTGTGAAAAGCTGAGTAGCAAACTGCAAAAGCAGCCAGCAGAAACATGTTCTTCCCCATTGGCTGCTCTGTCACACACTGTAATTACTTGAAGGGGAGGTGTGAAATGCAAAGACAGGGACAGGCGACAGGGAGCCCCCACACACCCGCCAGACCTCTTCATGTGTGTACTGGTGCTGGTCCAGCATCTCCCACAGCACAAGTGAGACTGGGAGCACATGGCTGACTGAGGAATGAGAGGTTTTTCTAGGTAAGTAGTGTCCAAGGGTACAATCCTTTTTTGACTGTACTGTTTACAGGCCCAGTTTAAAGGGAATCTGGAAAATCATGGGCATGACATCATACACAGACATTAATACCCAGTAAAAAAGGGGAGACATGAACAACAGCCTTCTGCTTCACTGCCTATATTGACACTGCTACACATTAATGCATCTAACTTCCTGATTTCAGAATGTCTTTCTTGCCTTCAGGGCTTTTTACTTGTTCAAAACCTCTCTTGTTTTTTGGCAGTTAACCTTTTTTTCTTTTATGAGCAAAAAGATTGTGGAGAACAAATTTTCAGCCCTCCCAAGGGATTCAGTGATTTGATTTCTGTTTTAAAATACCCATCTAAGAATGCCCTCAGTTATGCTAATATTTTGTTTTGCAGAGAAACCGGAAGTCTCACAAGGTTAATAACATCTTTAAAAGAAAATGTATTTGGAAGTCCTAAAGAATTGTTAAAATTAAGTGTTCCATCTGTGGTGTACGCTCTCCAAAATAACATGGCCTTCGTGGCTCTTAGCAACTTGGATGCTGCAGTCTACCAGGTAAGACAAGTTTCTGTCAGTAACAGATCTGGAAATATTTTTCCTGGTTCATGAGGCACACATGTCTGGTGTCTTCCTGGCACACAGCACTCTTCAGCCTCAGTATTAAAAGCCAAACTGTGCTTTGTTATATTCAGAGCATACACTCTGCTGCAGAGCTCTAGCTTTCTGAGCTAAGCCACTCACTGCCAGAGTCAGTTCAAATTCGCTTTGTTGTAGCTGGTGATGGATCTGTAGGAAATCAATGAATATAAAAATCTGTCATTCTGTAGTTGAATTTACCATTTTATTTTCTTGTTTTAGAGGAGTTTATAAAACCATGTTCTCTACACTACATTTCCATCTTTTTTAGGTGACATACCAGTTGAAGATCCCTTGTACAGCTTTATGTACGGTCCTGATGCTGAACCGTACCCTTAGTAAGTTGCAGTGGTTCTCTGTCTTCATGCTATGTGGTGGTGTTACCCTTGTTCAGTGGGAGCCTGCTCAGGCTACAAAAGTACAGGTAAGAGTTAATATTTTGCCTCTTCAGATAAAGAATAAACGACCCTTGATTATTTCACCTTTACTGTGTACCAGTTCAGGCAGGCTTGTAGTATTGCTTCTGTCTCCCTTGTTGGAAACACAACTGATTGCTACAATTAATATAAATTACCACAGCTATCATAATCAGTCTAATGCAGCATCCTAGGAGTGTCTGAGTAATAGATTGTTTCCAGCAGTTGGCCATGGTAACATTGTAATTGTTGGAATGGAGAACTTGGAATCAAAGCACTGGGAGGAATTAGGAGTGAAACTCCAGTGCAGCGTGTATATGTCATTTAAACACACCCTTCAGAGGGACTGACCTAATACCATTGTAGGGAGAAACAAGTGTCTTCTGTTTCTTGGGTCATAGCTGCTGCTCAGCTGCATTAGTAGGAAAGGTAGGTCATGCCTCTGGCAGTACTGGCCACAGCCAAGTGGACAGCCTCTGAGCACTGGTGAGGTACCCCCAGAAAGTGAAACACCACACAGCAGCACTGAGCTGATCTGAGGGACAGCCCTAGATCAGCAAGTGCACATGGTACTGCAGTGAAATGCTAATCATTTGGCTCTACTTAATGAAGTAACTCTGCGCCCTGGTTTTGACTAGGATAGAATTACATTTCTTCCTAGCAGTAGCAGTTTCAGTGCTGTGTTTTGGATTTAGTATGAGAACAATGTTGGTAACACACTGATGTTTTAGTTGTGGCTCAGTAGTGCTTAATCATGTGTCCAGGTCTTTTCAATGTCTCCTGCTGTGTCAGTGAGGAGTGACACAAGAAACCAGGAGGGAGTATGGCCAGGACAGCTGACCTGGCCAAAGGGATATGCTATACCACAGAACATTACACCCAGTAAGGAAAATCAAGGAAAGTCAGGAGGGGCTGATTGCTGCTGCAGGATTGGCTGGGCATCTGTCAGCAGGTGGTGATCAATTATCTTTTACATCACTTAGTTTTCTTGGGTTTTATATCTCTCTCTCCTTTTGTTAATACTAGAATTATTAGTAATTTGTATTTTGATTTAGTTATTAAACTGGGCTTATATCAACCCACAAAGTTAACTCTTTGTTTTCAATTCTCCCCACTGTGGGGCTTGGGGGGAATGAGTGAAGAGCAGGGTGGTCCTTAGTTGATGGCTGAAGTTAAACCACAGGACTCTGGAACTGATTATTGTGAATGTCTGAAGTGTTGTATCCTTTTTAAAATAATGGTTGATGTTGCAGGTGGAGCAGAACCCATGGCTAGGGTTTGGAGCGATTGCTGTGGCAGTGCTGTGTTCAGGATTTGCAGGTACAGTATTATTTGGGTACGTGGGTTGCACTGAAGGATTGGAGAACTCACAGTATTTAAAACTGAACATTCTACATTTGTTAACTGTCCTCCTTTAGTAGCTTATTCCCTCTGCCCATAATTATCTTCTACTTTTGGTAATTATGGCAGATTCATAACATGATTACTCCCATTGTCAAGAAAATGATAGGAGCATGTACCATTGGTTTTACATGATGCAGCATAGAGGGCTGGTTTACAAGTGGAAGTGTCTTTCAAATGCTGTGAGTAAGACTGTAGGGAGCAGTGTAATGACTCACTCTGTACATTTAATTAATGCACATCAATTTTACAAAGTTTACTTTGCAGTGAATAGCTCCCCTTTGGTGATCACATTAAATACTTGCATTTTTTTTACGAGGGGAACTGAGCTCCTCGCTGAGTTCTTGTACCAGCTCAGCCCTGAAATACACGTCACCATAGTTCTGTAGGTGGAAAATCTATCTAGGATGTAGAGGGAGCATGAGAGAGGCAGAGAGGTCGATTAGTAGCAGGAAGCCTGGATAAACTCAATGAAGGATTTTTTGTTTTGTTTATTTTTGCTTTGTTCTACAACCAGTGTCTCCCCTCAGCGTAGTTTTTTCTCTCGCTTCTGAAGAAGGACACCAAAACTTTAGGACAAGTTTTAGGACAAGCTCGGAAGTAAAGATACGCAAATTACTTGGTAATTTGAAATTTGGCTCATGGGGCATATTCCTCTGGCTGTAAACTGGATTCTTCCCCCATCCTCTGTAAAAAATCAAAGTACTATCACCCACCTCCAGTACTGTAAAATCTTGAAGACTAATCTTGTGCTTTGCGTAGATGCTCGTTACTCATGGAAAAACATTCTGGTGGGTAGAGGAGGAAAGGAGGAGAGTGTCATTTGGTGTCATCTCAGTGAAATGGGCACTTTGAAGCAGAAATACTAAATAAAACTGTGTAGAGCTCAGTCAGCTTTTCCTGGAAGATTATGAATTTCCTCATTTAAATAGATGCTCCCAAGCCGCAAGACAAAATACAGCCTTCAGAGTCTCCTAAAACTCCTGCTTTCCCCAATAATGTGGGTCAATAGCTGTGCTTCCAAAGGCCTGCAAATTCAGAGCACTGACACACTGATGCAGGCAGCTTGAGACACTTGGGGCTTTCTTCTCCTGCTAAAGGATTGCAGCTTGGGTTTCCTTGCTGACAGCTGAAGCTCTGGGGCAGCTGGGAGGGACTGTGTGTTTCATCCACGGAGCTCCTTGTGCCCTTGGGGCTTTACATGTTGAAAACATAAATTATATTCAAATTCCCTTCCTGTTCTTCCTTCTCACGCTCACATGAAGCAGTTATTTTGCCATTAGACCTTCAGTTTCTGGACTGACCATGTTTTATGGTGTGTTTTATTAGTCCAGAAAAATGAAAAAAAGGTTGTGTGTTTTTGTCACTTAGGGATGGAAAAGAAATTTTTTTTTTCCTCAAATTGCTGATCCTGTGATAATTTCCAAGTATCTGGGGCCCCAACAATGCTTTTAAAAGCATTGGAGGGATAATTTAACAGCAGATTCTTTGTGACTTACAACAGTTCTGAGGAGTAAGTTCTCCTAATCAGCCCCCATTCTTTCCTTCATCTTGCCTAGTGGATTTGTGAATTGTATAGTCACAAATCTAGAAGCATAGTTTTATTGATTTGCCTACTGTTTTCTGAGTTTATAACATTAACAAGTATTGTTCATACTCAAGCCAAATTTCTGTTATGTTAATTACACGTTGTTGTGCTCTGTGGGTCTTCTCAGGGGACAGAAGTCTCAAGGTAATTATTCTGGATTATATTAAAGGCTGCAGTCTTTCACAATACTAGTTTGTTGTTTACACTTTTTATGAGATAATGTCATATTTCCTTGGTTTTATATTATTTGAACCCCTGAAATATAAATCTGCCTTCTCATTCATTCACCATAAATACTCATGGTATTCTATTAAATTATAAATTGCATTTTTCATTAATAAAGAGTAGCAAGACCTTCCTTGAAGCTAACTTGGGGATTTTTTGGGGGTGGGGGGGTTGTGCCTAGGGCTTCTAACACACAGGTCTTTGTGCCACCTTTGTTGGTTCCATACTATTTTCATATTGCATGAAGGATCATATTTGATATTAATCACCAATAAACTTCTAGCCCTAGAGTCTAGGGCTCTCACCAGAAGGTCATGGAAGTCGCTGGTAAGAGTCCTGCAAACTGCTCTGTGTTTTGAAATGTGGAGGAGATTCCAGAGCTTGGCAGAGTCCTGATGGATGAGCAATGGTTAAAAAGGCAGGTGGTGAGGGCCTTGCCAAATGTCTGCCTCTTAGTCTGACAAATGCCTCCCAAGTTGAATAATGAAGAAGTATTTGGGGAGTTTCAGTAATGCAAAGCATAAAAATGATGCTCTTCAATGTGGTATTGAGAACTAGAGCTTTAGATTAAAATGGATTCCACTTCCTCAAAACCAAGCTGTAGTTTCAATTAGCAGAAGGCCTCAGTTTTGATTTGCTCTTATAAATCCCCCAAAGCTGTGGTTTCAGAACGAGCTGCTCTGCCAAGTGCTCTGCCTGCACAAAGCTCCTGAGGAGTTTTCAGTTTCAGTACTGAGGTAATATAGATCCTCCCCTACCCCCCAAGAAAAATCAGATTAAAATCAATCTAAAACTAAAATCAACATTAAATTATTTTCATGGAGGCTGTGGATTGAAAAAGCATGAAGATAGGGAAGGATAAGGATAAACAGGATTGAGGGAGACCTTCGCGTTGAGTCAAAGCATATGGATCCCCTTGCTAAACTTAGCCCCGGACTTGACCAATGGTTTATGCCTAAAGGTTGTAACTGCACTTAAACTTAACAACCTAATTGGAAAAAATTCTATGAGACAACAGTAACTCCTTATAGGGCTCAGTTAGTTACAAATCAAAAGTACCTGAGAATGTAAGAGAGGAGCATTCATAGTCCCTTTGCTGTAGTATATTCATGCTCATACAGATGTAAAGGAGTTTGTACACAGTGCCATGAGTTCAGTGAAGTACTCCCATGGGATGCCTTCTTATCTTCTCAGAGGGCCAAGGGTCGAGCCTAGAGGAGTGGGGCCACCACCAACAGTGGATCCATCATTGGTGTTCAGCAGCGTCTTCCAAGGATAGTGAGCTTGGGAGTTTGCTGGCTCTGAGAGGTTGTCTGGTTTTAAAATGCAATAAACAATGAATCATTCTTCTCACCGAAACATTTTCAAGTTTTTGTTTGTTTTGTTTTGTTTTTTTCAGGAGTTTATTTTGAAAAGGTGTTAAAGAGTTCAGATACTTCCTTGTGGGTGAGGAACATTCAGCTGTACTTATCTGGGATTGTGGTGAATTTATTTGTTGTGTACATGTCAGATGGAGCCAAAGTTCTTGAGAAAGGGTTTTTCTATGGCTACACATACTACGTCTGGTTTGTTGTCTGTAAGTATCTTGTGGATTTAGTCTTTTGACATTGTTTTTCTTCTTTAACAATGATACAAATGATTGCAGGAAGCTACAAATTCAGTCTGACACACTCATAGCTGTGTGTTGAGGGATTTTATTTAAAAAGTATCACTTTATTGGAAGCTATTCAAATAAAGTTGTTGAAGAAGTTATTAAATTTAAAACTGTGCTGAAACAGCAGGCTAAATAATTGACTAGCAAGTAGATCATCTTTAAATGAGTTTTATCTTATTTACAGGATGCCAAGGAGGCATCCCATTCTATGAATGATCTGTTAAATTACTAATTAGAGTAATGGAGCCCAAAGTAGGAGAACACCAGTGGAGTAAATGGATTTCAAGAGTAACCTACTGCACCTGTACTTATGGTAACACCTTATCTGCTTCCCAGTTCTGGCCAGCGTGGGTGGCATCTACACCTCGGTGGTTGTTAAGTACACAGATAACATCATGAAAGGCTTTTCTGCAGCGGCAGCCATTGTTCTCTCTACAGTGGCATCATACACCCTCTTTGGCCTCCAGATAAGTAAGTGCCTTTCTGCCTTTGATTTGATCACTGTGCATGTTTCTTGCCTGCCCAGCCTGCTGTACATAGCTCATACCAAAGCCATCGTTTATGCCCCTCTCAGTTTTTCTGGTTTTAGCTTCAAGTCTTCTCCAGGAATCCCATGCACTCATGCATCATCGATTCTCGCTGTGGTGCACAAAGGTGCTTGGTGACTCTGTGCTTTCAAAGACATTGGTGCTTTGTTCTTTCAGAGGCATCTACAACTTCAAACAGAAAGAACCTTTCTGGCTTAAACAGCTTTATTTTCATGCATCACTGTCTGATGCAGTTTAGTGTGATACAGCTGTTTACCTTGGGACTGCTGTTGATGAGTTATTATTTCTTGTCAGGTTTAGTACAGCCAGTGCCAAATTAATTCCTCAGCTATTTCTTCAAGGGCTTTACACATCCTTGATGAGTTGCACCCACTACTGCCTTAACTTTTACTTTCCCCAGCTGCTGTGGACACCAGCATGTGAGAAAGTCAGAGTAGCTGGGGTTGTGACTGACTGATGTGGTGAATGTTTTTGAGAGGAAAGCAGATGGCTCTGGGCTGTTCTGCAACTACAAAGGATTTTCTCCCCAGTCAAGTCTGTGTCTGATACTGTGCCCAGTACTCCTGCTTCTCAGTCCTTCACTGTTTAGTTGTGGGTAGTTTCTTACCTCAGTCCAAAGGTGGTGTGGGAAAATGGTGTAAAAACTAGCTTTTTGATGTAGTATTAGTGAGACAAAACTTAAGGAAAGTTTGCATAAGGAGAAAATAATCAGTGTTTGGCTGCAAAAGAGCACCGTAAAGCAAGAGATGAAAAAATTTTAAAAACTTACTTGGGCAGAATGTTTTCCTGACAGTTGACACAAATCAAACCTGGACTAATGAGTTTTCTGTGAAAGCCTCATTAATAGAGTTTCTTAATAACCCTGTCTAGACATGGAAAGTTAAAAAAGGTGTTATCACAGGCTACTTTATCACATCCACTGACTTTTTATTATTAAGTTCATTGTAATGTAGGCCTGTACAGATGGCACCTGGGACCGCAGGAGATGCTTCACTCTTGCTTGTATGACCACTACCACCACATTATTGCTGATGAGACTAATTGGAACCGTGTGGGGATTGTAAACACTCAAGAGATCCCAGTGACAGGATGAAGTTAAATGCTGTGACTTATCAATAGCTTGCTGTCTTCTTTCGTTTTGGGTAACTTCAATGCTCTCACCCAGATATCATAACTTATGTGGCTTGCTGAAGGTTTCTTATATGGATGTATTTATTTAAACTATTTTGTCTCCTTTCAGCTGTTACCTTCTCCCTGGGTGCTTTCCTGGTGTGTATTTCTATTTACCTCTATGGATTACCTCGACAAGACACCACAAAAATCCAGCCCTCAGAGACTAAAAGCTCAAAAGAGAGACTTGCTACTGTGTGATGTTGTCCATAAAAATGGACAGATGGACAAGAGAAAACACAAACTTTAAAAAAAACTGTATTTTTTTTCCAAAATTAGCCTTAAGCTAGTCATGAAATGGTTTAAGTGGGATAGACTAAAAGCAGAAGTTAGTTCTGTCTTACCTGTGTTGTTTCCAGCGGCTGACACTGAGGCTACACTGCAGCTGAGGAGCTGGCTGGGTATTTTATGGAAGGTATTCTTCATTCACATCGTCAATGAAGAGTCTCATTTACAAGGAAAACCCAATGAAGGAACTGATCACTCAATTGTATATAATGTATATAATAGAGATAAATCGGTTCTTTGTGTATTTGATAAACTGTCTTGCTCTTTGAGGGCAGAAATGCCTGAAAGCTTTGTAAAAAAAAAAAACTATTAAAAAAGCAACAACTGCCAGAATTTTCTCTTAAAATACTTGGCAATTGCTGTTTGATTAATAACAGAAGAGTTTCTCTTTTAGGCAACAAGTACGAGATGATGCAACTCTGCAGGGAAGACCTCTGCTTTGAGCATCACCTACCTCAGTGTGATAGAGATAGCCTTTGTTGTTTGGTTTAAAAAGTCAGATGAAAGACTGAAGCTGTGGATTTCCTTTTACTCTTTAAAATGTGTTTTTATATCAGCTAGAGGTGGTAAGCAGATCTTTTATATGTAGTACAGGGGAAGGTTTGTATTTGTTCCTGTACCTCTGGCTTATGTGTGAATGAGTCAACACAAAGTTTCTATCTACAAGATCTTTATCAACCCCTCTGTGCATACAGATGCTTGAAAAGGATTCCTGTAATAATGTTCACCTTTATTAGTGCCAACTGTAATTTCTTCCGAATCCTTCCAGATATTTCAATTCTACATTAAGGGAAAACAGACCCTGGTGCATTTGGGCAACTTGTTGACATTCACAGTGGAGTTGAAATGTGACCAATTTCATACTCTTGGCTACATTTCTTTGGACGTGAATTAAGCAGCTGGGATTTACTTGAAAGTGGGGCACATTAAACACAGCAGTAACAAATATGCCTAAGTTCTCTTCCAGTGGGAGAGGATGGTCCCCTCTGTGTTTCACCAACTCTTCCACCACAGTGCTGCTCTTGGGAGTTGAGGCTTCCATGGTGGAAGGTATTGCCAGGCACCTGCAGGACCTCACAGGTGCTGCTCCATCTCTCTACAGCAGTGTGAGGCTCAGGGGTGCCAAGCAGCACCTGCCACGTCTGCCTGTGCGCACAGTGCTGAGGGAACACTGTGCTTCCTCTTCCACCAGCTGGGCAGCAGTCTCTTCTCACCAGCCATCACGTCAGTGGCACAGAGGAAGGGCTGAGGAGCAGGGTGTGACTGCTGGCAGTTGGGCCTGGCTGAGGTTTCTGTAGGGGAAATGCAGCACAACACGCAGGAAAAGGTCTCTGCAGGGTCTGAGTAACTCTGTTTATTACAGGAGACAGCACCAGGAGCCACTGTGCCGTAAGACCTTGGTACACAGCGGCAAGGAGGAGTGGAGAACTTTGCTTAGGGCAGCACAGTTAATACCACTTCCTCTACCACAAGGATGTGGTATTTACATGGCAAATACACAGCAGTTCTCTTTTATGGGAAATTCCAGGTAGAGTAGAGTGTTAAGCACTCTGCTTGCCACCAAATGCCTGAAGAAAGTGATTATGATAGCCTTGCCCACTGCAAATGGCAAATGTGGCTGTCCCACAGCTGCTCTGCGGCAGCTTGGTAGGATGGAGAACACAAAGCTCCCAGTGCAGATGGAGTTTCCAGCCTGGAGTAGTAGTGACACACAGGACAAGATTCTTATTATTGTGGACAAAAATCACTTTACTAAGTGATTTTTTCAAAATTTTTACAAGTCTTTACTAAGTCATTTTTACAAAATCACTTGACATTGGATACGGCCTTGTTACATTTCAGTTACGGGTGTAATGCCGAGAAGTTTCATTCCATTGGCTAGAACGGAGCGTGCAGCATGGAAGAGACAGAGCCGTGCCTGGAAAACAAGGAAAAACACTTTAGGGTAGTACTGTAGCAATAGGGTGTGGTTCTTGGGACAGCAGTTAGACGCAGAGGTGAGAACACTGTGCGCAGCCGGCCCCCACCGGGACTCGGATCTACAAAAAACCTGCGTGCCAGAATTCACAGCAGCTCCTGGCAGCCCATTGCACTGTTAACAGAGGGACACTTCGTCAAACAAAGGAAGACGGAATGTTCAGCCCAGCCCTCGGGGCAGAGCAAGCAGAGATGCCTGAGAAACAGTGCAATGACTAAAAGCTGAAAATCTCTCATGCACCACGGTCTAGAACAGCCTGAGGATACCGCTGGAATCTCTCCCCTCGACGTGCCTGTGTGACAGGCTGTCAAGCAACTATGGGCTGCTTTGAAAATTTCCCTTGTCAATGTCTTGGCTGTTACACACCTGGCTGTTTGGGAAGGGCTCTATCAAGCTTGCTCCAAAAATCACAGTTCTTGAAAGTTGTCACATTGCAAGATCTTTAGAAATATTTTTATTTACAGGATAAGGAACTAAAGTTTTCCTTGAAGTTTGGCACAGTCCATCTCCAAAGGCACCAATGCCCCCCACAGCACAGATCAACACTTAAATGTTGACGATTTCCTACCAAAATCAAATAGGTAATTCCTTTTGAAGTAGATGAAAGAAAATAAGAAAGGCAATGTAATTAATATATCATTTACTGAGTCATTAGGGGGTCAAACATTGCCTGGGAGATCAGAAAAAAGAATTTGCATTTATTTGGAATGGCATTAACAGTTGTCAGCCTCTGTGCTTTAGCTAGAAAGGCAATACCGACAACTTGGGATATGTAGGTGGCAAGAAGGAGGAGACAAGATTCTGTTTTCTCCTAATTCTCTATCTTCCCTCATGACCACTAAAGGAAACCGTAAAAAGAAAAGTCAACAAGCAAGTTAAATGCCCAAATGTTTACTCTTAAAACATTTAGAAGGAAAGGTGATGAGTAGGTGCTTGACTGGGTCTGGAGCAGTTGTCCTTAAGAGAGTGTTGTGTTTTTGGAGGCTCAAGCAGAGCAGCCCTTTCTGGAATGCACAGCTGCGAACAGCAATCCCTGTCTTCCCAAAGCAGTGCCACCCACAGGAGAGCCTGGCTGTTGGCTCTTCTGCCTGCGGGCTCATATTCCCCCCAGTGGTGACACAGCTGGGCTGGCAAAGCTGCTGGATCCTTCCTCGGGCCGCCCTCCAGGCTCCAGCCCCCAACCCCGCTGTGCCGTACCTGTGCCACATCGGGGGTGCTGCCTTTCACGGGAAGGGTTTTGTGTGCCACGGCTGCCAGGTGGCTGAAAGGGAAAACACGGGAGAACGGTGAGAAGGAGCAAGTCACTTGACAAACACAGTGCTGTGGGCTACAGAAAGCAGCAGAACTGGAAGAGCCACCCACAACTGCAGCATGCCACAGGCTGATTTCCAACAGCCTCTGCACCTGGCTGAAGGAAGGCATGGTTTTCTGTAGCCTGCATGATGTTGATGGCACGCCCTGACAACTTCACTCTCCTTAAATAACCCCAAAGTGATCTTCCCACTTCACACATATCCTTCCACTCCCTGCCCTCCATCCCCCCCAAAAAACCCACAAACCAATCTTAAAAGACTGTTCTAGGAAGATCCTTGAGAGCCTACCCTATCATTCCCAAGATTCATGATTCTTTACACAATTTTCCTTAATTTGTTAAAGCCTTCCCCATACACAGGCTGTTCAGATTCCTCCACCAAGCCTACACTAGCATTTCATGGTTCTGTCCAATCCCTATGGCAATCAGATGCACTGATTATATTAGTGCATGACTTACACTTGCAACAGGCTTTGTTCGTGGGCTGAGATAATGGTTAAAAGTGGTTTGGGTAAAATTTCCTAACTGAAATGTTGATATTGAGAGGATGTTATCAGCTAAAATCTGCTCCTTAAGACATCATTACTCCAGCATGATTTTGGGTTCATATATTGGGTTTCAGCCAAATGATTATTTTTTCTTAAAAGATGTTATATTTCTCAGGAGGTTCCCAGTTCCAGCCTTAATCTCTACTATTTATTACATTATTTGCTATCCTGCTTTATGTATTTCCTGCTTCAGGGAGACTGTCCTACAAATTTGCATCTTTCCCACTATTTTTACTCTTCAAAGCAGTGCAGATGTGAGGGCTGCAGAGCCAGCTCAGGAAGACCAGTCCTCACTGCACTGCCAGTATCAGCAAACACCTTACCTCAGTGTGAGGAGGTAGCTGACAATGTGCTTGGGTTGCAGATCCTGAGAAGATCTATACAGGACCTCATCATACCTGTGAAAGAAGGTTTGTTTGGTGCTGAAGTGGTACAAGGTGTACTCAGAAGGCTCATCAGACTTGCTTAAGTCAGAACAAACACACAACCACAGCTGTAGAATTAGCAAAACTAATCTTCTGAAGCAGACCTAAGCCATGTCATTAGCACACAACTGATTATTCCTTCCTTGTTCACTTATTGAAGGAGACTGCTTCTGCTGCTCATCATGCAAACAGCTCAGAGAGGCAGGCTATAGCAAAGAGAACACAAGAGCTGTATTTGCTCCTGGAACATTATGTCTGGTTTTACATCTCAACACTAATTGTACGTTTCTAGGAGCAAAAAACATGTGTTAAATAACCAAGGAAGTCAAAATAGTCCCTTAGAGGACATTGCCTTTAGTAACTGAAGCTTAGAATTTTAAGCAGATAAAAGGAATCTTGCAACATTAGAAAAAGACAAATCCTGGAACACAGAATCACACAGAATGGGTCGAGTTGGAAGGATTGGGTGATCTGGTCCAACCTCCCTATGTAGGGTCCCTATGACCCTGTGTAGGGTCATCCTACATAGCTTACACAAAGCACGACTTTGTAAGACAGTATTAAACAGGGTAGTACAGGCAATCACGACAGCTATGTTTCTTCTTCATGTGTTCTGCTGCCCTTTTTCACGGCCTGCAAGAAGGTACCAAGACCTCCAGGGCTGAAGAAATGTCAAAGTTAAAGTGAGGACTGGACTTCCTGATCTCTGCTCAGCTCCCAGGCCCATCCCTGCCAGCATGTCCAAGCTGAACTGCTGTAGAATCTTCCTCTCTTAAAGACGAGCTGCAGAACTGGGGAGCATACTGTGGTAATGAGCTCAGCAGTCATGTTAAAGTATAAAAAAATCCCAAGAAACAACTCACACATTTTCAAAATACAATGGCACTGCACAAATAAGACACTACTGGTCTTGCTGAGAGCTGGCTGGTCCTGCTGTTGCTCAAGACAGCGTGCAGCACACAATGGACTGCAGGCAGACTCTGGAGGCAACTACAGTTAATGCTAGGGCTCTGCAGCCCACACGTGCAGGTCAAAGGAGCCACCTGGTGCACTGGCATGACTTTGGAAGTCCTAATTTTAAACAGACAACCTCAGGAAGGTCTTAGTTGGTAAAAAAAGGTAACTTGCTGGCACTGCACAGTGTGCAATGCAGTATATAGGAATTCTCACTAGGAATTCTGAAAGCTTTGGTCACTTCTGACTCCATGACAGGCCGCACAACAGACAACTCCCTGTCTCTGTAGTTTAATTATACATCTATGAAATAATGAAAACAGAAAGTGCTCAACTTTAAGACTGAATTGATGAAGAACACTAGTGCTATCAGCAGTTGTGCACGTTCAGTAGCTCTAAAGGATGCTGAGGTAGCAAATGTGTATACACGTATGCACATCGCCGCCTCTCTCTTTTCTCAATGACAAAAACAGAACATGAGGGACCAAGCAAATCTGCAGCTAATATTTATACAGAGCTGAGCACACTTTTATGAAGGCAAGAAATAATTAGGAGGCTCATGTACACAGAGTATATTCCAAATACTGCTTTTTCCATCATATGGCTTGTAAAGTCATTAACATTTCAAATGTTGCAATCCATGTGGCACGAAAGACAAGACATTGCCTCAAACAGCCATTTTTTTCTTATGATCATACAGTCTGTGCCCTCTCAATAGGTCAGTGGCGTGTCCAGATATTTATTTTAAGGGAAATGGTATTTGGAAAGAAAACTAGACGAACCTGAGAAGATGCTGAAGAACAGAGATGGCATCTGGCTCTTGCAAGCACGCCACATTTACATCAGTTAGCTGTGCATTCCCGTGCATCTGTTCTAAACTAAAATGTAAGAATGGAAAATAAACATGGGATGAAAACCACCTCTTAGCAATGCTGAACAAAAAACCCAGTAATCTATGTTTTTAAGAAAGCAGGGTAGGCTCTGCTCAAGCTGAATGGAACACTGAGACAGACTAGCTGACTTCAACCTAAGATTAAAAAGAAAATAAAAAAAATTTGTGCTGGCCAGTCAATTATCAACAGGATTAGAGATATGCATGGACAACAGGTCCAGAAGCTCAAAGGAGTAGGGAGGTAGTCAATCTCCCACTAATGGTAACTGGAACCACCAATACCTACATGACAAGAGGAACAGACCAGAGAAAGGGATCAGGCTTGCACGTTCTCCCTGAACACCATATCCTGCTACCATTGCCTCAGAACATCAGGCTGCTTCACACCTTTGGCCTCACTCAGGAAGGAATCTCACATGAAAACACATATTGAGGTCTGCTCTGGCAATTCAGTATAATTGATAAAATTGTTCAAGCTGGACTCTTCTGAAACTCTTTAAAAAAAATAAATTAAACATGTCAGGTGTTTAATCTCAGGTGTTTAACATCTCAGGTGGTTGACCTGAGTCAACCAGAAGGGATCTCCTTTTAGTCTTGGCTATCAACAGTTGGAAATGACAATGTTAAAAATAATCCACTAGTTACTGTGATAGCCCAAACATTCAACTTCCATTAAGTGGTGTGTTTTACAAGTATGGACATTTTGGCTTTTACATCAGTTTCTTTAGTTCCAGGCAACCATTCTTCATCAGTGACACCAACCACAGAGAAGATGTTCCTTAGAACTGACAAACTACATGAACAGTTAGTTCAGTTCCACAGAAATGAGGTAGAATATTGATTTCAATTGGCCTGCTCTTCTGGGAAGTCTATCTTAAACACACTTCTGCTGTAAAAGTGAGCATGTGTCATATTTAAGGAGTTAGCACTACTACTTAACAAAGCAGTAGTATTCGTGTCAGACTGCTGTGCAGAAATGCTCCTCTTACCTATGGAGTCTGGCATGGGTGTACTGCAAGAACACTCCGGTATCTCCCCGACTCTGGAGAGCTCGGTCCCAGCTAAACTGGTAATCAGATGACAGGAGGCCCCGGAAGTCCTGGAACAATAAACTGACGTCACACAGACATGGCTCTTCATCTCAATCTATAACTTCTCACAGACAATGCAGACACCTCATGAGGCAGCTCAGACTTACCTGAATTATGAGTGCTGCAAGACCAACCTTCTCTGCTGTCTCCACAGGATCCTGGACCTCTTTGGTTGCTGAAGGGAAACAAAAACATCGTTAAGTCTACAGTACCGTAACGACTCTCTTGCTCAGACTTGGAGATGCCAATGTAAGAGCAGATCTTCCTTAACTGTAAACTAGCAATATGGAAATTGTCAGGATGCATGCAGCAAGAGGATATAAATCTCTATTAAAAGCTGAAAACATAGGCTTTTTCCCACTTCCCCTTGTATGCATAGCACAGATCTTGAGGTGGAAGGGTTCATTACAACAGACTATGCAGGCTACATTTCACAATTCTGACAGCCAATCTCTGAGACCAGGGAAATGCAAATTTTGTTGAAAAACTGATAAAAAAGTTCCAAGTGATACAAGATGCATAAACAAAAAAAGAAAAGTTGTTCCAATGGCTAATGACCATTTGGATGTAGCTTCAGGGAGTATTCACACTATCCATTGCAAATACCTAAACTGACCATACTGAGGGAATCTGAACTGGGAGAATCACAGAATGCTTTGGAAGGTTGGAAGGAACCTTTAAAGATCATCCAGTCCAAACCCCCTGCCATGAGCAGCAACACCACCTCCTCATCCATCTTACAAAGAAAGTAATCTGTTTTAAAAAAGCTGAGGAGGCAGAGCAAGGAAGATGCATACAACTTAAACTGATCAGATTGCTGACTCAATCCAGCATCTAACACCAGAGAGCACAAGAGGGGGCAGCATTTCACTGGGAACTGCTTGGATCTGTAGTGCATCAGGAGGAAACGGTCCTGGAGCCACAGGCTGAGTGGAGCACAGGCAAACCCCCCCTTCAGCACAATCTGGGGCAGAGCAGTGGCCTCGGGAACAGCCACGAGGCTGGCAGGGTGACAAGGCAGCAGTGGCAGGCAAGGGAGGAAGGCTCTTGCCAGAGAAAACTGTCAGAGCTATAAATCCTTTGGATGAAATCTGACTGATCCCTGAACTCCAGCCCCAAATCTACTACTGAGTAGTTTGTCTCTCCAGAAAAAAACTGTTGTCCCTGAAAGGCAGGTACTTCCTCCCTAGTGCATGATGAAATAATTTAACTGAATGCTAAAATTTGCAAATCTGCAGTTTAGGGGAGTTCACAGAGTTGCAAAAAATTATTGTAATGTTGTTTATATTATAGGAAGTACAAAAAGAAAGGAAAAGGGCATATTACTGTGGTTAGTGCAATACAGGGAGAAGTGAAGGGTGGAAAATATGACACAATGTGATCAACACAGAACATCAAAAGAAACTAATAAGACCTGAAATAGCTAACTTTTTGTGGAAGTCATGTTTTTTAACATCCTTGAGCGAACTTCATTTAAAACATCTTCCAGAAAAATTACTTCTCCTCTCCGAGTCTTCATGCCTTGAACTAGACCAAAAGACACATGCTGGCACCTGTGTTGAGAAGCAGCAGGACCAAAATTATATTTCAATCGAGAGAAATGTTTGCAGTGTTTTTTCAGAGCTGGAAACAGCAATAACAGCTGAATAAATAACACTCCAATGTGGGAAGCTCAGTGATATAATCAGTAACTCTCATTTCAGCAACCAAGCTCCATACTTATTACATAATGGGAAAATTATGATCAGAGTTATGATAGCCTGGTCATTTGTATGCTCAGGAATCTCTTGCTACTAGCTTTAGTACAGAGGCCTCAATGCAATAACTTGCAATAAATTGAGGAGAGACAGGATTGTAGACAGATCAAATTACTGTGGCAACAGAGATCTCTTAATATAATTAGAAAAGGAGTCATAATAATTCTATTGTGGCCACATTAAACCAAAAGTATAATTAATCATTGCTAATAATAAAGTATTCATTGTTTCTGCTTGTAAAAATCCCAAGCATTATTGTTGGTCCAGAATCTAAGGTAACTTTAGCACAACTTTAAGCACTGTGAAAGGAGGCAGGTATTGCTGAAGGCTAAAACACTATATTTAACCACAAAAGACATACAGTCTGGCAGAGGGGAATATGATTTAGTCTGGAGATCTATTACTGACCTTTGCTCAGATTGCTAACAAGATTGGTAATTGCAATGAATAACAGCAGGGATACACTTCCCTGCAATAGATACTTCAAGCCTGAAGCACGATTCAAACTCAGATTCTGATCTCTGCTGAAATAAAATACTTCAAGAGGTAATAATTTGTAACCACACAATACCCCAGAAGCTATGCCACAAAGTCTCTTAAAAATTGTTTCCCTTTTTCACATCAGGCAGTTATGAAAAACCTGTTAAATGAGAGACAGGGCTGTTTTTCACATCCTAAACACACGACAGTGACTCCATTCACACATAAATCAGACCAGCAGGAGTGGACACATAGAATGAAAAGGTTGCTGGTAAGGACCTGAAGCCCATATTGCACATAATTCTGAGGGTTTGATTCTCTGTTGGACTAGTACTAGTTGGGTCCTACAGGCCAAATGTCTGCTTGTACCCTGGAGTCCATTACTTGCACAGCAGCATCACATCTTGTAGCTTAGTTTCATCCAAAATGCCTACATGATTTGTGCTATAGCGTGGCGGTGGATGGACACCATCAGGAGATTCTCCTCAAAAGAGCACTCCATTGAAATTCCAATGTACACATGATATACATTCTTGAGGAAAAATAAATTAACCACCAAAACCAGTATGTAATTATGATATTTAAGTACATACCTTTCTGCCCAGTCATAACCCATGAGCTTCAGTATTTGGAATAAATGTTGAAAGTGATTACTTTGGCTTTTATCTGTCTAAGGAATAGAATTGATGCATATCAGAAAACACTACAAGTCTGATAAGGAGTAACTTTTAACACACAAACACACAGTACCACAGTGCCAGTAAGTCATTGCAAGCAAAATCAAGACCTACAAAGACAAGCAAGACTTAAAAATTGTGACAGCTGAGATCTATGACAATGAGATTTTGAGTTATGTTAGAAAAAGAAATCCATCTTTTCAGAAATGATTATTCTCAGGTCACAAAAGCAAAGATGTGAAGTAAAAGGAAACTTCAATGTTCTTTAGTTTCCCATGATCTGAGAGCTGCCCATCAAGCAAAACATCTCCATTTTCACTTCAGATCCTTGCTGCTCTTGTTATACCCCTGGGTTATATCACCAGACTCCAAGGGTCCTTTGGCTTAGAAACAGAACACCTCTTTGGCTGTCTGCCTCCAGAACCCACTAGTTTCTATTGTCTCCAGCATGATTTGTAGTTTTACATCATAAGGCAGGTACATAATTTTAAAAAAATGTATAAATGCTCACAATTTCATAACAAAGATGCATCTTGTACTCTCTTCCACTTTCAGTTACACTCTTCTACAAACTGAAGTTGTTTCTGACTGTATATTATGTCTAACAACAATCTTCATATGTGTTTCTAGCCACAGCTGCTGCTATGAGGTTCATTTTTCTACCTAGTTGTTTTGGTCATCTCAGCCTCCTTTTTATCCCTCCTTAAAAAACAGTGCATAGATAACCAAATAATCACTATTCCCTCATTTGTTTGGTGTTCTGGGACAAGGAGTAAAATACTTATCTTGTATTCCTTCTCAACTCTACCACTGTATCAAGCACCTGCCTCCTCTCTCCCAGTTCCTCATAACCTGCTCTGCTCCTGGGAATCACCTCTCTGTGCCAACTCACAAGCAAGGCTGATAAATGGACAGCTGATAAATGGACAGCAGTGGCTGGTGCTTCAAACAAGGCCTTCCAAGTCCTCTTCCATGCACCTTAGAGATGAGGTGCCTCTCTGCACAAAGCCAGACCTCTTGTTAAGTGGCTGGCTTTAAGGTAGAGGTCTGCAGTCTGACAGCATGGATTGTATTTAACTCTTCATATATAAAAGCATTTTCATTTTCTTCTTGAGTGCAACATTCAGTGGAATCTTAGTAGCTCTTTAAGAACATGCTTTGAATATTTTGCTCATACCACTGCCTTTTTGTGAAATAAGTCGGATTTTTTAAAAAACCTAAATTAGTGAATGCACTGATTCACAGCATTACAAGTAGTAAACCAATTTAATGTTCTTTTAAAGAAGTTGATCTGATGAAAATAAGATGATCTTATTTCATAAGACTCTAGAGTCTCTAAATAATTTTCTTGTAACAAGATTAGGATTCTGAAATATATTTTATTTAATTATTAAAGACTAAAATCATTAGCATTCTCATTTAATCCCATCAAGTCCTCTTGCCTCTGGTAACACTGACTAAAGTCCTAACTCAGTACAAAGCAGTGCCACAAAACAGCAGTAAAGCTCAGCAAAGGCTGGCAGTTCCCTCACCAGGCTGTCTGTCCCACAAGAGTCTCCTAAGAGTTTGTTTCATTCCTTTATGACCCACTTTCTCAGACTTCAGAAAGTCAGAAATTACAAAAATACTAACCATGTCCTCTGAAAACCATACAACCTGAGCAAGGCTGAGAGGACAGGACAGGCTAATCGGTCATTTCCCACTCGAATCAGATATTGGCTAAGACGGACACATCAGTCACGTCACAGTCTGGCTGTGCTCTGCTGTGTATCTCTCTGGACTTGAAGGAAACCAGGGAGGCCCAGGCAAGGAATTAAAGTGTGACTGGAATTCAGTTACAGCAGCAGTCTGCTCAAGACTCTTGCTCCTATGCTTGCTCACTCCATTAGCTGAAAGTTCAGCTGACATCCTGATTTGTGCAAAGTGGACACCCAACTATTCTTTTTTCTAATTGTTCCTTCTCCCTTGGTCCCTGCTACCTCCTGGTTTATCAAACACAGATAATTGCCCACCCACATGAACTAGACAGGAAACATCCTTAACATCTAATGCTTTGCATGTTCACAGCCACACTGCCCTTTGATGCCAATGAACTCACTGTTCCAGCCAGCAGGGGCAGAAAAGCTCCCACCAAAACCAATTTCTCCTCAGGATAACTCAAAGGCCCTGTTCTCTGACAACATGTAAGAATGGCAAGCTATGGGACACTTCCTGAAGACTGAAGCTAAAAGGAGTAATGTGGTTTAACTAACTTTAAACTGTGAATTTAATGTTTTGTTTACTGATCTCTCTCCTTGCATCTTGTTATTTTGAAAAAGCTGTACAGAGACGGTACAAAGACATTACCAAACATGACCACATACATATTTTTTTCCACATGCTACTAATTCTGGACTTCATATAAAAGAACATGGCTTTCATAATTATTTTTTTTTCAAAATCTGAGAAAAATAAGATTTAGAAGCGTCACATGAAATGTCCCTGCTAATATAAGATCAAAAAACAGTTTCAGACAAGTAAGGAGACAGTCCTGCTATTCATATTTTCTATCCATTATTGATACTGCCAGAATAAAATTAAAAATAAAATAATGAAACCAATAAATATAAAAAGACTCCCTGTCTACAACTGCTTCATTCAGATTGATTAAACAGTACTTTATGAGCAATTTCTACATAATGAAACTAAGGCATTGTTCAAAGCCATAAAAATGTACATTTCAGATAAGATATCAGGACTTCAGAGTAGACTTCGATTCATTTTAGACTATTAATTTCTAAATTAACATTTTAAAACCCTTTATAATACTGACAGCTTTTTCTGGCTTGCTTAATTATTAATTACAACATTTATACAGAAAATAAAATGTCAAGTAAGAGTTCCTTTCAAGCTAATTGTAATGAATTTTTATAGCAGAGAAAAACTCCAGAGCTAATTTTCATAAAATCATAGAAAGGCTTTGTGTTAGAAGGGACCTTAGATCATCTTGTTCTAACCTCCCTGCTGGGGGAAAGGACATCTTCCACTGTACCAGGTTTCTCAGAGCACCATCCAACCTGGCCTTGAACACTTCCAGAGATGAGGCATCCACAGCTTCTCTGGGCAGCCTGTTCCTGTGCCTCAGCACCCTCACAGTGACAAATATTTTCCTAATATCTAATCTAAACCTACTCTCTTTCAGTTTAAAGGTATTTTTCAACCATTCTGGGTGTCATGCACTGAAACAGAACCAAGAAACATTGCCACACAGAGGCACAGCTGCTGGGCAGTAAGGGCATCCATTTTACTGCCAAAAATACTGTGTGTCAAAGTCATATTGCAAGCCAGAGGCCCCGTGGTTACTGCAGAGAGTCAGCACAAACGTGTGTGCTGAATCTAGAATTACTTACCACATAAATCATGGTATCCCAGCTGTGCTTATTCATTCTGTCTATAGCAGCTGCAAGATCTCTGAAAGAGATAATGAGAAACTATTCGGACTTTCACTCAAACGTACCTCACTATTTGCCTCTTAGAAAAATAATCTGCTTTTTATGGAAGGGAAAGGACTTCCTGGATAGAAGGATCCATGTATGCCTTACATGTAGAAAACAACATGTATACTTTGCTGATGACATGTCTGAAATGTTTTTTTAAACCACTACCTAAGAAAATTACTGAGGAAACAGTTCTTTGGTGCAGAGTAAGTCCAGGGTCTGTCTGCCTGCTGGAACCTGAGAGAAACAACCCTTTCCTGGAAAACTAACCCCATGTTCAGCCTTAGCTTAAATGGTAGAAAGCTCATCTGCACACACACAAGCACACAGGACTGTCACAGGAGAACTATCAGCCTTGTACTCCAATCTGAAAAAAGCATTTGCAATTGCACAAGACTTGTTATGGGATAGGGGTATAGGGGAGTACTATATAAGTATATAATACTTGTTATTGTATAGGGGAGGAACCAAAGATAAGAAAAGAGAAGATGATAACAGGGATGAGTGGCTTGTAAATCCATTGCTGGTTATATGTTTGTCTAGTTCTGTCCTGCACCTCATCAGCACAGTCTGTCCTGTCTTCCCATGACTCCATTTCAAACTCTCCCAGGGTGAGGGAGCTCTCTCCTCTGTGTGCACATGTGTTTGGAGGTCAGTAGCTGGAGCTGGGGGCTCATGTAGGCCATGCATTTGTAGTGCCAGAAACAGAGGGGACTGGGCATAAGTGAAATGAAGCAGCTGGAGTTTGACCAAATAACAGCTGGAGTCTGACCATGGGTCACAAGGTGTCTCAGCCAACAGCTGGAGTGAGGGCACACATCCTGGTACGACTGAGAGCAAGTATCAAGCTGAATAGCCAAGCAAGTCGGCAAAGTATCCCAGCGAGTCTCCAGTCTGCAGAAATGAGGCACACAGAGGGGTCTGTACTGTTGCCATCAGAGGATCCAGGCCAGCTGCTGGAGAGACCACAGGGACCTCCAGCTACTGAAGGATATGTAGTGCATGTACAATACATATGTGTATTACTTAAATTGTTAAATAAAACATGTATCACATACATAATACAAGTATCTATGTCACAATATATATCACATACACATATGTATCTATACACATACATACATACATATAGGTCTGTTTCTTCACAGGAATAGATACCCTTCCTAATCACCCAGGGGGAAACAAAATGCCAGCTGTGCTGAGTGGTTTTGGCCCTGTGTGTGGGCCTGTTGAGATCAGGTGCTCATGCTCACTCCTGGCTGACCTGTGGGCATGGAACTGTGGCACCTTTGTCTCTGCTTGGCTACAGGACTCAGCAGCTCCCTAATGTACAGGATTGACTGTAGAATCTCTCTAATACCCTTGCCCTGAAAAGCTGTACAGAGTTTACCCTGCAGGCTAGACACTAGATTTATTTACATTCCTGACACAAAGAAACTGCTAAGGCTTCCATACTAAAATACCCAAGAGGAGTTTTAGGATACTGATGAGGTGGCAGGAAAACAGCAATAAAATTGATGTTACAGCACTGATGGCCCATTGAATCAATGAAGATATGGCTGAACAAGCTATTTGTTCCTGTATCAATACACCATCAATAAACATTTGAAGCAAGCAAAAGTCTTTCTAAAATCTTTATATTTTGGCAGCTATTTATTACATCCAGAGATCCCAGCTTTGTTTTTAAAGTTAGTAGCTCGAGAAAGTATTACTATTAATGCAAAAGAAGAGATTTATTAACATTACTTAGGGGGAAGGAGAAGTACTTAAAAGCCATTTTCACCCCATCATAGTTACATTGCTAGTTTCACTTAAAACTACCCTAGAAATAAAAAGCTTCAAAATCCATGTGATCAGTTATAAATGTGCTCAAGTTTAAAAGTTCCCTGGCAAAATGACTGGCAATCAGCACAGATGGGCTTACTTGCCTTGTTATATAAAGAGATGTCCCATCACTGCGCATGACAGTGGAAACTGTTGAGAGGTCTTTCTTCTCCGAGAGATCCACAACTCCTGTCCCTTTTCTGTAAGTTGAGGGAAAATACTGATGTCACTGCAAGATACTACACAGGTAAGTTCAGGCAAGACTGAGGTCAGAGCCAAAACCAAGGCCTCTTGCCACAACCCCCCCTCCCTCTAGACAGTCTCATTCTTTTTGTCTGAATGACCGTCTCCTTTTAGTCTTTTTGAAGACTGTTCCTACAAGTTTGCTGTCACCACTGCTGATGTCAGGGAGAAGCCTGCCCACATTCTGGTCCTTTCCATGGCTCCCATCCCAGTTCAGCCAGGCACCTCTTTCATCAAGGCAAGGATCTCATTTAGTTCTGCTTATTAAATGGTACACACAGCTACCAAACTAATCAACAGCCTAAAACACCACTAGGAGTTGAACATTGTCATTGCACCCAATTTGTCAAGTCCAGGCTTCTGTGCTAGTCACAGAAAAGGAAAATGTAAATTTTAGCTGTGACTGCACAAATCCTGATGGTATTCTACTAGAACAGCTACCAAAACCATGTAACTCCAAAAACATGTAAAACTCTTCCCCTCAGATTATGTACAAAACTCACTCATCTTGTTGGAAGTGCAACTGAGATGTTAAAAAAAGTAAACGACACCAATAGATTGAATGAGTTCATACATTGTTTTCTGAAGGAGTCCTTTATCTTCCAGCATCTTCAGAACCTCCTGGGCCTTCTCTTGGTAAAATGATTCTCCAGAATATTCATCAAAATGCACTCCTAGACGCTGAAAAGTTACCAGAACATCAAAGAAGGGCAATATCATTAAAATAAAGGCTAACCATTTTTCTTCAAGTTAAGTCAGATGATAGGTTACAGATCAGATACAGTGCAGAGATCAGTGTTATTGCAGGAAATGACACTTCATTGTTAATAAAAGGGAAGGATGCTTGGATTTTGATTTAACCCATTTCTGCATTAGAATGAATCTCTCCCTGAGGTGAATATGGTGTTGGATGTAATATTCATGAGAAATCAGGCATCAGCTGGTTAGAGCAATTCATACACAAATTCTGAGGCAAGTCTCTTACTTGGTGTGCTGGAGGTGAAACCAGTGGGCTGCAGAGGAACTACCTGGACATGAAACCAGCCCTATTTCAAAAGGATGCTAAAAGGAGTTTTAAAAAGTAAAAGCTGCTCACAAACACTGCTGAGCACACAGAAATCAGCACTACCATGAAGGCTGTGGTTACACTCAGAAGAGACAGGATGACCTCAACTGTCAAACCTGGTCAGTTCATCAGTTCAATACATTTTTGTTTAAATGAAACTAGGAGAGAAAGATCTAGCTGTACCAGTCCTCATGTGATCAATGATGGGTGACCTTCAAGATGCAGCTGCATACACAGCCCAATACCTAATTACCTTCAGAGGTCTGCTTTCAACAAGAATTATCTAGTGTCTCATTAGGAGACCTTAACTTAAGAATACTTTTTTGGCTCCAGTGATACGTTTCAGGGAAGAAGTTAAAGCAGAGTGATTTTGAATTATAAACTGTTTCCCAGTTTTTTAAGATTAATTTTTTGGTCAGTGGCACAAACATGTCCCATGAAACAGCAGACACTGGCTCCACTCATGAGATCACATGTGCAACAGACAGCTGTGTATTAGCTCAACTCCGCCAGCAGGGAACTCCTGCTGCTATAATTTCTTACACCAAATTTAATATGCAACATTATAACATTATATCAGAAATGGGAAAACAGAGTTATCTTCTAATAAAATTTATTACATGGAAACTGTTAAATTTGGTGGGTTGTAACTGACTTCAAAGATAAAGCAAAACTAAGTAATATTTATCCAACACTGATTTGCCTTGCTGCTTAGCACCACAGTTTGAGCTTCAGGACTTTTGAGAAGGGAGAATTAGTCTAAAGGCCAATAACCTGGACACCATTAAATAAAATGTATCTAGCATGTCAGCAACTTAAGTGACAGCCTGCTTGGATGAGAAATCAACTACTGTGCTTTTACCATGCAGAATGAGGCTTAGCCTGGCATACTGAGAAAGAGCTTCCCCACAACATTCTAAAGTTTATGGGAAAAGCAATGAATTGATAACATTAGAGCAATCTCTGATCCCAAGTGAGTCCACTGCTTGGCAGTCTCCTAGATGAAAAGGTCACTGTCAATTATGCTGATGAAGCAATACAGAAAGAGACCATTTTACCAGAAACACAGAAGGAACACTTGGATGATTTGTACCTTATAAATCCGGATGTATTCCTCAATACTGAGGTCTCTAAATTGCTTCCAAATTGACAACGTCTGCTCATCACGGTCCTCGAGTTTTCTAAAGAAATCCTTAGCCAGCTTTTTTGTGTTTTCATCTTCTGCTGCTTTGTTAATCTGCACATACACCTAAAATATGACACTGAAAATGTTGAAGCAGAATAATCCTCTCCTCCAATGAAAACAGTTCTACAAGAACAATACAAATACATTTAAAGATGACATTCTTAAAGCCAGAAATTTTAAAAGACTTGTTAAAGCAACACATTCCCCGTTGAAAGAAACAATGAATAGCCCAAAGCCCAATAGGAAAATGTGCAGTTTATCTTGAAAGAAGACTAATGCCCTAATTCCTTACTGCTGCTGCTATCATCCTCTTCATAACCTTGAAATGACTGCAGCAGCAAAATAGGGAGGAACTAATTTATGCATGGAAGGGAACCTATCACAGACTTTTAAACCACAGACATGTCTTCAGAGGACCACAAAATTGACATTTATGGCAACTGCACTGCCTAAAATTGAGATAGCAGTTGAAGCAACAAAATCCTTGATGGACTCAGTATTTTACAAGTGTATATTACTAGAAAAGATTGATTTCACACACCAGCAGAAAAAGCACCACTTTGAAACACAACTCAGTTTTTGATGCAGCTAGGCATACAGCTGAATAAACACTTAAAAATTTGGAATAACTGAGAAACTAATTTGGTCTCAAACAACTACAGTTTTAGAATCTTTTGCATCTTGACTGAATACTGTTCTCTACACCTAAAGGCAAATTTTTAAGGTCATAAAGCCTACATGCTACTGCAATAGCTGGTATTTTGAAGCTTTAGTGCAAAATTCAAGTATAAAAAATTAAATTCTAAGAGTGGACTGAAATTATAAATAAAAATGAAGTAATACACACTGATGCACAATCCCAAAAATAGGACTGCTTCTTGTTTTCTCTTTTAATCAGTCCTACAGCTCTAAAACACTTCAGTGTTAAGAATCTATCACCTTAAATCCACAGGGCTTAGGGATGAGGGAACAAGCGAGTAAAGTTTATCTGTGTCAAAGAAGATGGCAAGCTCAGAAGGAGCTATTCTGCCATATAAACAATCTAACTAACATGCATTCAGCTGCTGAGTATCCAAGTACTCACAGTTTGTTCCTTTGCCACGAGACAGATTTACACATAACAGCTCTCCTGTGTCACTCTGCCTGAACAGCAGCATTAGCCACAGCTCCTGTATCCAGCTCCGAGGGTGAAGCACAGCTCAGCTTTGTGCTAAGAACACACCTGAGAGTGACACACAAGACCCCTGACAAAGCCCTGTTAACATGTGAGATCTTTCTTTTAGAGGATGAGGGCTTGAACATTAGCCATCCAGGAATATTGCCCACCTTTCCTCCCGGTTACTGGCACTGTGCAGGTAAGCACTTAAATCCCTTATGTGCATTGTAGCTATATCACACCCAGCATGGCTGTCACACAAAGATCAACAAAAAGGAAATACTGACTCAGATGGTATCAGGAATGGTATATTCAATGGAGCAAGCCAACAAACCATAACCTGTTTAATCCTGGAAAGACGAATCTAGTTGGTCTCCTCTGAACTTACCTCAAAAAGGTGCTGCAAAGGACTGGATTTTAGTTTTTCTTCGTTGCCAAAGGACTGGAAACCAACACCCAATAAGCCTTGAATAACAATTACATATAGAGTTAGACAACAGACCAGAGTATATTGATAGGTTGTTTTTGTAAGTCTAGTTTTAACACTGCAACATTTTGAAACAATATAATGGTGTACGCTACAAAAAGAAAATCAAAAGCATAGCCTATCATTCCACTGCATAAACATCACCCCCCCACAACCCCCCTGAAATACAATAGCTAGAAAATAGTAAGAAATACTGTGTTGATTTCTCAATTCCTCATAAGGAATTTATGTTTCTAGACTTGTATAAAGAATTATCTTTTACACAGCAACATGATGTAAATACGAAGCCACACAGTGGAAACTGATCAGCAACAGAACATGCTCAAAAGTCCTTGTTTTGCTTCCTCCCTTATTAGTATTATAATTTTAAGGACAATAAGAATTGGGATACAATATAGAGTTCTTCATACCACTCACGCAATGTTTTCAAGAAAAATTTTTGCTGCTTGCTTAAATATGCAGCTTTTTTTGAAACCCAATTTGGTTTCAGGACTTTCCAAAAAAAATCTAAAAGAGAAAGAAATCCAAATCCCAATCTTTTTGTCTAAATGGAAAGACCCCATTAACTCTTTCAGTAATGCAGCAATATTAACATGTCAGGCTCTTGGATTATATGAAGCTGACTTTAAGGCCATCTTACTCCTCTGAGCTGACAAGGACCAGGACTGATGTAGGAATAGATATGCAGGTATCCCTTTGGAAAACTCTCTGCAACTAAACAAACAGCACTGTCTCAAGAACTTTCCTCTTAGAAACACTGAGTACAGAAGAAAGCATGGCTGACTTTAAGAAGAACAGGTTAGGTTTTAGGAAACAAAATTAGTCTAATCCTATTGGAAGGGAGTTAAGGACAGCTTGTTCTGTGAGCAATCAGAGCTGGGTTTCCTAATGATCTCTCTCAGATATTAACATATCTAAACATTCTGTTATTCAGTGCTGACTTCACATCTCCAACACAACTGTCAGTCTTTATTCAACCCAAACACATCCTTCCATGTATTTTTTGTCTTTCCCATATTATCCCCAGACCTTGTTATCCTCACCAGTTAATGGCAAGATGCAGCACATGTTGGAACTGATTCTGACTTAGGGGTGTTGACTGGTTAGCCAGCAGGTTGAACACAGAAGCTAATTTTCCTCCCAGAGGTCAATATACTGTATTTCTACTTTTACTCAGCTGCCAACTGTCGTAATTCCAAAAGAAATTAATTCTCTTAGAGATATTTTTCTTTGTCAGACCTGGCTAAAGTTGCCCAATGGGTTAAAAATTTATTAGGAGCAGAGTGACAGGGAGACAGATAAACAGATAGTGTGACTGCATTTGCTACCTTAAAAAACCTGCTGCAAAACTGCCTAAAGGCTGAGACCTCTCTGCTATCTTTCAGGAAAATATGTTTTCAATTCTCATATTTTAAAGCCTCTGACAATAGCAGTTGTAAAAGCAGATGACAGATCATTAATTACAGCACTGCTTCTGAGAAAGGACCATTACAGTAATACTGCTGTGCTGTAACTCTGTATGACTAGCATGACTATTATTTGTTACAATACCTGCCATATATTTGAGCTGAGCCTGCCCAAATAAAAAGGTGAGTACCTACTTTGAAAGAAATAGTTGGAACTGCTAGGTCAAAAGCATGATTCTAAGAGTTGAGTGCTGCACAAATGGCACACATGTAAATAATGGGTACTGTGATCTTTATACCTTCAGGAACCTTGATATCAAAAAACATAAAATTCCTGATATTCAGACTTCAGAGTGCTATTTAGTATCTTCAAAGGCAGACTGAATGAGGTCAGCTGAGAAGCCTTTTATCCAGACAGCATTTCACTGCTTAACTGTCATTGCCACATTTATTATACAATAGGGTAGTGATAAAATTATGTCTAAGGGGCAAACATGAATGAAAAATGCAAAGATGAAATTTACTCAATTTTTGGTGAATTCATTCTGTATTCAATTCTTATGAAACAAATCATAAGCGAAGCAAAGCTCTGCTATAAGATACTGTTTCATCAGAAACAGGATCAGGAAAGGCAAGCTGCAGGGGAAATAATTCAATAAAGGAGAGAATGTTTTATTACCGCTCTCACAGTCCTGAGAATGTTATACCGCACTGCCTAAAATCCAGGAATTTAATCCAGAAGGACAACAGGTAGAACTGAATGTATTTTAGTTATCTACGCTTACAAATCCGAATATAAAAATGGATTGAAAGTAGGGCATTGACTTTAAATTTTTAACCCAATTCTGTTCATAATATTGATTCCTTGATGTCCCCCAAAACAGCAGTACTATTGAAACTGGAGGGGGCAGCATAAGGACTGGAATAATGAAAAGTGACCACTTAACAGACATTGCACTTTGTGTTTGCTATTTAAACATCAATAAATGGACAGCTTCCAGAGCCTACTGTGAAAGAAATTGGCATTTTTTATAGTTTTCAGAGGGTGTACCAGCTTTCAAGAATGAGGAAATGGGCATGATTGCCTTTTTTAAATGCCTAAAAATATGCCCAAACCAGCTTTTTGGGGGCAATTAGAAAAGGAGATGGAACTATAGATCAATTTAAAGTGCAAGGTTAACAACAGAAGTCAACAAAGTTGTGAATGCTATGGATGGGTCAGCTACCATAACAGAGGGATAGCTATAGATCCAGCAATGGGACATAAATATCTCTGGTGTGGGAATAAATATCAAGCCATGCATCCTCAGGTTGCACTTGAGAGGACTGTTCAGTCCCCACTAATCTGATGATTTCAGAAGAGATGGAGGTGCCTATCTGTATGCATACTGGACTGTTAGTCTTCCAGCCCCTATTCACTTGCACATTCTCCATCTACACACTTCTCTTCTGCTACATTTTATGGGGAAATTGAATATTCTGGGGAAAGTGTAGGAATATCTCTAAAGATATTGTGGTTGTTGTGGAAATTCATTATGCTCTATGGATGATGAGAAAAGGAACAACAACAAAAACCCAAAACCAAGCAACCAAAGAAACAAAATCCAAACCCAAAACAAAACATATAACCCCCAAACTACACATTTAGTTTGAGAGAAGAGCTACTGAGAGGGACAGAGAGACAGCTGGATAAATTTGGTCCTGTTATTTCTTGGACATCAGTACAATCATACAGCTGATGGATCATTCTGGATTATCAGTACAGGTCATACTGCTGATGGATCAGTCTGGACTATTTTGTTCAGATTTTTTAAGGAAATGAACTATACATTACCCACATGGAGACATGATATCATTCCTTATGAGCACAGAGTGAATCCAATGGGCCTACAAAAACTGAAGCTGGAAACCTAGACCACACTATACAGTAGAAAAGGATACAGTATAAAAAAATATTGAAACATACCAAACTGCATGCCCCAGTCACCAAGGTAATTTATTCTTACTACTTCATGTCCCAGCGCAGCTTTGAGATTTGCTATAAAATTCCCTGGTAATGAAACAAAAATAATATTATTATTCAGTTGTAGGCAGTCTCTCATCCCTATGGAACAGTTTTCTGGTTTTGTATCACCTGTATTCAAAATTAAGCAGAAAAGCAATCAGATGGAATATTCTGCAGGATTTGCTAAAATACCTGACAACTGAAGCAGCAGTAGCAGTAATAGTAAAAAGTGAGTTCCTTTCTGAGCAGGAAAAGAAAGGCTGTACATTTGAACAGTGCCACAGAGTGTCTCGCACTACAGAGATAAAAACATACAAAGGTGGATGTACATGCACATGTTGCAAAGTGTAAGATCATGAAAAACCTTTTAAAGTCATTTTGTATTCTCACACATACGTGGCATTATACATAATTCCATCACAGTCAGGCAACCTCAAAGCAGGTTAGGCAAGCACTCAAAATTCACAAACTGCTGTTAAGTGTGATGCTAAAGAGAGAACATCGAGTCCTGAATCTCTGTAGACTCTTGGAGCAGTTCTGAGCTCTGCATTTAACAGACCATGTTCCAAACTTGTCGTATCCTATAAGTATATATATATATATAAGTTCCAGCTGCTCTTACAACAAAAATCCTTTTTCTCTCTCCTGAGCTTAGTCATAGCCTTAGAATTACAAAGAAGAAATAATCACATCCCTTCCTCTCTTTTCCTTTGCTTCAAGGGTACCTTTTAATTACAATACTGTTGTAAAGGATGCAGAAAACTTGTATTGTTATAACACCACATTCTAGCTTGCAATTACTTTCAATTCCATTCTCTGTAGTGAATTAATTGTCTTACTCTGGGACAAACATTGATCTACAGAACTATTTCTGAAAGTAGCTTTTTTCTGTAACAAAGGATCCAGAAATGGGACATAAAAAAAACCCAAATACATAATTTCACTCAACTATCTGTCCATGGAAGAGGCAATTAATTTATGTAATTAATAACTATACATGATGAATTAAGTATAATTAAAAACGAATACATTATTAGATGCACAGATTTTGTAGGCTCTTCTGCTACAACCTCCTAGTTTTTATTGTGAGATCAGGAAATGAAGGACAAATACAGTTTTCCATATACCACTAGAGCACTGCACAAGAAATTTATTAATTATTCTATTAGAAATTACAGAAACTGTCTCGGTAATACTGGCATAAAGTAATTAGCATATAAAAGCAAGCTTTTTGCAGGGCAGCCACCAAGACATAATGATCTGAACTGCTCTGCAGTCCAGTGCAAATTGAGAATTAAAATTCAAAGGACTCTCTTAACACCTCAATGAAAACTGCCTTGGGTGTCTTTGAAGACCAATTTTAAGCTACTTCATTTAATATCCACAGTCGTAAAACTATATTATGTGTGACTTAATAAATCTGCCAGCAACACACCACGTTCTTTTCTTCACTGCATAATGAGCAGAAAGGTTTTAATTAGCAAGCTGAGCCTGACACAAGCCACTCACACCCGAGGAGTGAGATGTTAGCAGTGCTCTCCTGTCAAGTGAGGCAGGCAGAGCGAGCAGCCCTCCCAGGAGGCAGTGAAATGCACACTCACCTACTATGGTGGAACGCAGGTGTCCTATGTGGAACTTTTTGGCAATATTAGGGGAGCTGTAACAGATTTTTACAAATAACATTTGCTCAGTGGACAAAACTGCCAGATCACCAAGTTAAAAGAATTCAACACATGTATCTAGAAGAGCTGAAATAAAAGCTCAATCCTCAATTTTCCCATGAGATTCCCTGATCAGCCTCTGTCCTAGACAGCAAGTGTTCTTATCCAACCAGTTTTCCCTCCAGTATTAGTTAACAGACAGTGCTGTGGTTAAACCACCCCATCAACCAACCCAAGAAAAGCAAAATAATCTAATCAAAGCCCAGCTGTGTTAGCAACAAAGAATCAAAAATATCTTCTCACTTTTCTACACGTTTTGGACATATGGATCATTCTCCTCATGTCTTTTTCAGAGATAAACTAGGATGAGAGATTTTGTGTAACCAAAATGATATCTTTCCAGCAATGCCCACCCCTCACAAAGAAAAACAACAAAAACCCAACTCTTTACACAACTGTTTACCTAGATTAATATATATATACATATATATACACATATATATAAAGTTCAGCCATGAAAATAAATATTTATGCATAAAAAATTTGACTCAGACACTTTTTATACCATGAGTAGGTGACAGTCAACAAAATTGCAGTGGAAAAAAACTTTTGGGGACAGCAGTCAACAAGATTTAGCCAGACAAATGACTGCTTTCTTTAACAAGCCAGGGAAGAAGGTAAAAAGGCACAAAAAAAACCTGCTTAGTGCCTGGAAATTCAGGCTTTACTTCTTCATAACAAAATAATAAGAAGCTTTCTTAAGAACTGAATGCTGTTAGGTGTCAAATGAGAATATTCTCAATGGAGGGCTGTGTAAGGCATGAACTCCTTAAACACCAAAAATACATTCTGGGAAAAAAGCCTCAAATCCCTGAATATAATTTATATTCTACTTGGTGAATATATCTGAATGTCAAATACTGCTAAATATAATACTAGTTAATATGGTTTAACATCACAGGCGTCACACTTTACAGCAATGACTATCAACCAGAAAATATCAATCAGCAGACAAGGCAATTGTCTCAAAGACCCTTTAGATGTGCTTACCTGAACTCAATCACCGCCTTTTGTCTGGGAACTGTAGAGAAAAGTTCACTTTTTATTCCATACTCTGAGCCATCTTTCCACACCTGCTGCAGCACAGTCTAAAGTACAATTTTTAAAACAACAACAACAAAAAAAAAAATCAAATCCACACAAGAAGTTTCACCAACAGAAAGCATCGCCAGGAAAACTGTTTACCAGCCACAAATCAGACTGATCCCACATCCTTTATTCACATTAGTAATTAGATGTCTGGTTTTCCAAGCAAGCAAGGTCTCATACACAGACAAAAATGCCACTAACTTTTGAAAGTTGTATTTGATCAAATAAAAAATTTAAGAGGAATTGTATACAGAGTTTTGGTGAAAATTAAGGCTCAATTTTGTGAAAAACTTCTACTCTTTTAGTGCCAAAGAAAGCCAACTCTTCAATCCTAACGTGTCCAAACAACTCTTCTTTCTCTCTTCCACCTGCAAGTTTCTAAGGGCAGTATGAATGATCTGTACTAAAATATGTCAGCTTTGAAAGTCTGGAGATTGTAAAATGCCTTAAAATATTCATCAGGACAGTTTGTATGAGTATTATCAGTGATGTGCTCACAGCACCAAGTCAGTCCCTCCATGAACTGAAATGTATAAGGTCACACAGGCCAATGCACTATAGACCTAACCTGTGAAGCTGTATGAACTGAACAAGTCTCCTGAATATAACAGAACCATTAACAGAGTGAAACAAAGTGGAAATCTCACTTCATTCAGTGGAATTTTTTCTTATTTTTCCCATTCAAAAAACATCACTTTAACATTTTTCTGCAACAGCTATTGATTTTTTTTAAAAAAAGGAACAGCATCTGTAAAAATACTTTAATTCTGTTCTTATTATGACACCTCAGAAGGCAAGCTAGACACACACACAAAATTTAATCATACACCCATTCTCTAGTAGCCACTGGCTTGGTTACAAGGTATATGTACACTTCAGTCAGGATTATTGAAGAATACATCCCCACTTTTGGATTTTTTTTCCCCCTGGATTTTTTTTTTCCAGCGAAGTGTGTAATGAAAGATCTGCTGTCAAATACTTCTATGCCAGGTAAAACCAAGAGTATTTACAAGATCAAAACTTCTGAGTTGTACACTGTCAAAACTCAAAGTAGATGTAAAAAAGCCAGCATTTTAAAGCAGAGAGAGGAAGAGTTATGATTATTAGTGAACAGTAGATGCATTGTTTCCCCACAAGAGGAAGCTTTCTTGAGCCTCATTTCAAATTCTAGGCCTACATAACAAATCAGCAACAGGGATCCTCAGGGAAAACTTGTGAAAAGACAGTTTCACATAGAAAGTACCTTCCTAAGACAATAGTAGGTAATCCGTAGTTTTATACTGAGAAAACTTATTTTTTACCTTCAAGCACATGAAAGGCACTACTCACCTTTGCTAATAATTCCCTGTTTATTGTAAAATTCACTGTTCCTGGACCAGCGCTGATTTCACTCACTACTGAATCACATTTTAGCTAAGAGAATAAAATAAAACAGAAACTTTAAATGAAAACAGATGAACTGGAAAACTGTAATTCAATCCACTGTGAATATTAATTAAATCCACTGTAAACATTAAATGTTATTTGTTTGAAGCAATCATAAATGGATCATTTCACCAATGCTGTTGGAAAAGGGACAATTTTATTATTTCCCATTCATACTTAATAAGCTCTGAATATAACTCAGCTTGAAATGCCACACATATGTTCCACTTCAGACCCTGCCTGTGCACAGTCTGTTTTCTTTTGACTGGGAGTAGTAGTTGAACTCTTTGTACAGACAAAAGCTGAGATACATTTGACAACTTACACAGCAGCTGCCAGAACTTAACAAAAAAATAAAAAGACTTAGTGACAACATTCTGCAGTACCCAGTGTCACAAAATAAAGATATGAAAGACAAATTAATTAAAAATTTCATTTACAATTTCCATAAGGCACATATCTTGAAAAGTCTGAACCCATAAGGCATATTTGGCCAACCAACACCTAATGTCAACACAAATTTGGGTCTCTTCACAGCCCAAGAGCTTTGGATCTCAACCTGTCATGTTTGAGAGCTTCTTACTAAACCAGCTGTCCTTCATAGTCAAGAAGTTATCTTAAAAAAAAAGGAAAAAGAGGGATGGAAAGCATATAAAAATATGACACAATCACCTCACTCAGTATCTATGAGAGAGGCAAACTATACATTCCTCCTGAAGCCCATCACCATGAAGATGAAATTGTACTCCCATGTTAGATCTCCAGCTTAAGACACTGATCTAATCAGGAGAAACTGTAGCTAGCTTTGAAATGTTTTTATTTTCACAAGCTCTGCTAACAACAAATTCCAATGTTAACTCACAAGCTATGTGAAAAAAACATTTATTGTCTTGACACTGAATTTTCCACCTTACTGTTTTACAAATGGTCCTTTCTGCTTATGGGGCAGAGAGAAAACAGGAACACCCACTGGATCTTCTCCACAACACTTGTTCTGATAAATTTTTTCTATATAATCTGCCATTTGTCACATCTGTAGTTTTTATCTCTCTTTAATAAGAGTGCTCATTTGTCCTCTCCACAGCTTTAACAACCTCTTCTCCAAGTGCCCTGTGGTCCTTTAGTAACCAGATGTCCCTGTGCCCAAGGCTTGCACTAGGATGCCACTGTGCAGTACAGAAGCATTAAAACATCCAACACAACGTCCCCTCCACAAAGAACTAACAGTACAAAAATGAAACAAGAATCAGCCAGCCAAATGAAATCAAAAGCCCATGGAAACAAGACCCCCTGATCTTTCTGTACACACCATTTTCAGAGCACTGAAGTACTTTGCTTCATTTATTGTCTCACTGCCCAGTTATTTAGGCTATTTTAGTCAACTGGAAAAACTTCCATCTCCTTTTGCCTAACCTAAGTACCTGTATTTCAAATATTGTGGCCCATTTCCTCAGAAGTGACTTTGAGCATTCTGTTGAACCTTGAGGCACTCCATCAACTGTTTATCATGACAAAAACCAGTAACTGTCTGCATTTTTCTCTCTACTTTTCTCTCTCTTTTTGACATATAGTTATATTTTGCTAGTTTATACACTGCTTACCTTCTTTGGAAATGATATGACCAGTCTAAACAAGTAAAATGCATCTCATTTATTCATCACCCAACAAAAAGCATTCCTTAGAGATTATGGATTTTTATTTTCCTTTGTCTAGCTGGCACAATCTATTTAGTTTGGGGGCTTATATTGATGGTCTATTCTTCTTTGTTAAAATTGCTCCTCCATGAAAAGCTGTAGGGCTAAATGTTTCAGGATTATTTACTGAGCCACAAACAATAAAGAAGGGAAGACACTCGTAGCTTCCTAAACACTGGGAATAGCTGGTTGTTTTAAAATGACACACAAGGAGAAAAATAAAACTTGTTACTGTGATGATACAGTCATTGAAACAGATTGGAAGGGAGGCTGTCTAATCCTCCCTCACTGAATTTCAAAAGTCCTCAGCAACCTCATCAAAACAATCTGCACTGGGGAGGATATGGGAACAGATAACTTCCTGAAGTCCTTTCCAACCTGAATTATTTCATGTTTCTAGATCATCTTCCAGTTGTTTCAGAACTTTTGGATGTATATATATATATATATTGGTTGCATCATCAGTTCTCCTTCCACCCAAGTCAGAATATTTATCTTGTTAGAACAGGTCCAAGACAGGGATAACTTCAACATCTCAGCAATGAAGAATGACGTGAGAAACAGTTTAGCTCCTCAGTAGTATTACAAATGGTTTTATTTGTCCTTTTTTTCACTATTAACACCCAGCTACTGCCATTTCCCAAATGGCACACCTAAAAAAAAATTGCTGTTCCAAGAAAACTCAATTTCAGGCAGATAAGGATTTGAAAGTTAGGCCTGTTTGTACCACAGGCCAACTTCATCCATTGCCTTTCCAGAGCTAGGTTTTGCAGTCTTTGGTTTTCTGAGCTACCATACAGTCAATTTCTTCTTCAAGTGCTAGGCAACAGCACAGACCATGGCACACCCTTTAAGATACCCACCTAACTTCACCAGCACTATTTAATAGAAACTGTTTGAAAACAACAATTTCACAAGAACCTTAACCAAAGCTGCTTCTCCAACTCCCTATGAAGATGCTGTGTACAATTACAGTAAGTACAGTCATCAAACTACTTTGACCCAAACAGATGCTTGGAGAAAGGATCCTTTTCTTATTATACATTCCCTTACACATCTTGTCTCTAAGTTCATTACTACATCAATATATGAGGAGTTCATTAACATACCCTTTCAGCAAGCTGCTGAGCTTGAAGATGTTCCAAGCAACCACTAGAACCATTTTCTATTACAGAAGCAATGGAGAGCTGGAAATCAGCAACATGCCTGAAAAAAACCACAAACCAACAACATATGAAAATGAGGGGGAAAAAAAACCTGCTGGGGAGATTTGGCAGATCCAAGCTGACTCTGCATATGACAAGTGTAATTGCTAAGTATAACCCAGTCACAAATACCTGAAGACTCACTATATTTAGAAAGCTGGACTAGAAGGCCAAACATCACCTTTGCTCTAATACAATCAGAAAGTAGTTATGGTGACAACACCATCACGTAATATATAAAAACTATGCTCATGAATAAGTAAAATTTACTTGCTAACATTATTGCAACTCTTGAGCAGGACACAGAAAAAAATCCTCCATAACTTTACATTGGCTCTAAGCAGTTTCACATTCAGATCATCAGTGTTGAAGCATTTGCCATCCACGCACTGCCAAAAATTCGTACAGGCTTGTAAGCAATTATATTTACTTTAAGCTTTCTTGCAAAAATACAGGGATTTAATTGGATTGAACTATCTTTATACATTGGTATAAAAGGTTTGGGATTTTTGTCTGTATTTTTTCCCTGAAGTCTTGTTAAGCTTTAACAATAACAGGCATGCCATAAAATAATAAAACATACCAACATTGAAGATAAAATGTAAACAACTACCGTTTTTTGGAGACAGGAACTGCAGATATGGACTTTATTAAATTCTCTGGTGGCAGATCCAAAACTTTTGAAAGCAAAGATCCAAGGAAAAATACTGCTCCCTGTTTAAATACCCACGGGGGATGCACCTTTTATATCTGAAATCTAATTTCAACCCAGGTAAAAAAAAGCAAGGACTTTATAACTATTATGAACAATACAAAAAACATACAAACTTAAGAGATGTTAAAGGACCCTTAGAAAAAAGGCAAGACAAAACACCACAGAGAGTTGATATTTTTTTTATTTTCTCACGAAGAATCCCATCGAAACCATTCTGGACTTAAGTAGTCATGGAATGAGAGGATGGTTTGTATTAGTAGGGACCTTAAAGACCACCACGTCCCAACCCCTGCCATGTGCAGGGACACCTTCCACAGCAGCCCGGACTGCTCAGAGCCCCATCTACCCTGGGACATTTCCAGGGATGGGACAATGACTATGCCCGCCTCACTCCAGCTCAATCCCAGCGGGAAACCCCAGAGCGCGCCATGGCCAGGGGCGGGGCGGGTCGCGCCCACTGTAAGCCGCCCGGGCAGGGGGAACCCGTTGTGAGGGCACGGAAGGGACATCTGGTTCAGGGGGCACTCCCGCTCCGCGCCAGCCGCGGGAAGAAGTGGTGTGTACCTGGGAAGCAATGCTCCTCCGGAAGGAACCTGCTGCCATGGCCGCACCGCTCGGCTGAAGCTCCACGGCCCACCCTTATTCTCCACAGCCGACCCTTATCCCCCCGGCCCCGCTCCTTTCCGCCCGCCCAGGGGCGGGCAGGACCGTACCATTCTCAGGTTACAGGGGGAGGAGGAGAACAGTGGTTGCGCTGGGGGTGGAGGAATCGCGCGGCGCAGCGCAGAGGGGGCTGTACCACTGCTCAGGGAAAAGTGGGGGGAGCAGAGGCGCGGGGACGCGCAGGGCTGTGGGCGGTGCGTCGGAAGCGCGCGTGCGCGGGAATTCCTCCTCCTCTTTCTCCTCCTCCTCCTCTTCCTCTCCCTCTCCGGTAGCGGCGGGCGAGGGGCGACATGAGCACGTGTTCCGTATCCAAGGTGAGGAGCGGGAGAGAGCGGGGGGTGCTCCCCAGGGAGCAGCGAGGCCTGTGCGGGAGCTGGACCCACGGCATCATCCGCCGCGTCCTGCGCCTGCTCCTCTTCCCGCCTGCTGCAGGCGCTGCTTTTCCCGCCTCCCTGCTGCCCAGGCTCCCTGTTCCGCTGCCCGCCCCTTCCCAAAGCCTTGCTGGCTCACCATCCGTACCCGGCCTCGCTTTGCCCGAGGCGCTGTTTGTCTTTACTGCAGTCCCACAGAATCACGGAGTATCCTGGGTTGGAAGGGACCTCCAGGGACCATCGATTCCAGCCCTTATCCCTGCACAGGGCAGTCCTAGAGTCACACCATGAGTAGTGAGTGACCCCGCACTGTTACCTGCCCGCTGCCTTCCTGGCACAACAAAACCCGTTCCCACTTGGAGTTAATGTCACCCAGAACAGAGCCAGGAGTGTTGTGGCTGAAGGTTTTGTCACTTCCAGGTGAAGTCTGGTGGCGTTGCTTGCTGCCACACTCATTGCTTCACCCATCCACCCGCCGCCGCCCCAAAACAAGTTCAACAAAGAAATAGAACTAGAAGTGCTGTCCCCCACACGTTAAGTATCTGTTACTGCCTTGATATTTCCGAACTGAAAGCTTTTATGTGAGCTGTGTTCAGAGCAGGCGGGAGGGATAGTGCATTCATCAGAGCGTCAATGAATAGCGAGACTTCAAATGTTGATTTGGAACATATATTTAATCTCTTGCTTGATCATGCAGTGAGCAACAGTAATGCTTCACAGCCTGTGTTTTATCATCTCAGGAAGGCTCCTGCCCCTTCCATTGCTTTTCACTGAGTTGTGGTATGCAGCTGCATCCTTTGGTGCAGAAGGCGCTGTGCAGGTTATTACTTCCAGAAGTAAAGTGCTTCCAAACGAACTTAAAACTTAATCTGAAACTGCTGGATTTCACTTTTGACAGTGGCTGTTGCCTGATAGTTTGGCAGTGAATCATGTCACCTCACCTCACCTCCCACATTTTACACATAGTACTTCTTTGCTGTTTTATATTCTAGTCTCAGCCACATTCAGTGGTGTGGAAAAGCCAGTGCTTGCAAAGCATTCAGCAGTGTTTATGTTTGGTTTGATGAAGCATCCATTCTTCTTTTGTGTATATGATTTATACTCACTGTGGCCAGTTCCCTTTCTGCATGCAGCAGTACAACTATATCTGTAGGACACCTTTTTGCTGTGGTTGTTCCGGAGTGTTTGGCACTTGTAGATTAACCACTGCTTTTGTCCCGCTGTTTATAAATGGTATTTAATATACGTGGTAAAATGGAATGTGTCTGAAGGCATTTGCAGTTCACGAGGCTGTTTTTCAGAGAGGGTCAATATAAATGTTGGTGTTTTACTGCAATTTCTTACTTGTGCAAGAAAGGAAATAACATGTCTGAAGTCACTCAACAGACTGGTGACTGTGGGCAAAATTGAACATACCTCTGGTGTTTGATTTTTCATTACATTGTTCTTACTCTGGTGGCTGAACTATCCTAGGTTGAGTTCAATAATCCTTGTGTAAGCATCTCCATTGAGAAATGTGGGATTCAGTCTGTTTATTACCAGCACTTAGGTGTTTCCTTCCCCCTTGCTGCAGCACAAGAACCTCACAGTGAGAGTTGGGCAGTGCGTGTGATTTCTGATATATCGGAAATCTTCATAACTCTTCAGAAGAGATGAGCTTCTGTAGAGAGGATGGGGGAAGAAATTTCAAATTTTCTAGAAGAAAATGAAAAAATCTTCAAGAGCTCAAAGCTCTTGCATGATGAAATAGGTCTAACTGTGATATGTCTTGTCTCTACAGGAATTCCTTCGAACAGAGGGTTTTATATGAACCTTTTCCCAAGCATTTGTCATTCTGCTTCTAACCATCTACTTTTTTTTTGAGATGCAATTCACTGTGGCTTGGGCATGTAATTTTCTTTTATAAGTGACTTAATGACGCTTGTTGCGTTACTTTGGATTGTGTTTTCCATTCATCTTAGCCTCTTGCGTTTTGCTTTGTTTTTAACTGAAACTATACTGAGAAAACTGTACTGGTGGGTCCCCAGGGAATAATTTCCTTTTAATTCTAAACCTGTTGGAGGTTTTGAAGCATTTAAAGAATCTGCTGGCCCAGTTGATGGTTGAATCAAAACGTAGTGGAAGATGAAAAAATTCCTAACAAGTGCACTGGGTTACTGCCTCCACTACTGTTCCAGCTTGAAACAGAAATATAAAGGGGCAGTATGTAACTTGATATTCTTAAGAGACTGGCGATTTAGTGCAAATTACTGGTTTAATGGAGCACTGAAATAAAAGGACAATAAAGTGGCCTCTGGAGCCAGTCAGATTGATGTTTGTATTGAAATCTGTTTGGTTTTTTTTTGCTCTTTCTCTCTAGGGCTGCTTTGTTTTTAAACCAAGTACCAAGAAGAGAAGATTGTCTGAGAAAACAGGTTAGTGCATTTTCATTTATGTTTCTGCTTTTGAGAAGGGTTAATCCTGAAAGGTTCATCGCATCTGATTGTGTTCATATCATGAGTTCTGTCCTAGCTCTGTGAGGTTTTCTCTTACTCCTTGATTGCTGAAAACTCTTTTCTTTGGTGGAATGTGAGGAAATTGTTGTTTAGAGTAAATGCTGGGCTTTTTTAATCTCCAGCAATCAAGACTGTGCAGCCATCTTTGTATTTTTTTTACAACAGAACTCCTCACCATGCTTACCATAAGGTTTTTACTAACAGGCAAACAATTCACCTGAAGGTGTGAATGAGCCATTTTCAAGCTGTGGGAGTCAGAAATTATATCCCATCCATAAATCTTATATTCTGGGTATTTTCTCTAAGTTTCTTGTGGAAAAGAAGGAAGAAAAGCCATTTGTGGCTTCTGTCCACTAGTATTTGCTGTGTACATTTTTCTCTAGATGTGTATGCAGGTCTGTTTTCATTTGAGGACTGATTCTTCTTGGAACCAGAAATAAGGCATCTTAAATAATTGCTATTTGAGACTCAGCTGGGAAACTTACTGTTTTTATTCCCAGGTTAAACTACTTTTATCATCATTAGAACTGCCAAAAGGTGTAACAATACGAAAAAGATGGAGAGGAAAGTAATGAGCCCAGATTTTTGTCTCATTGCAAGTTATTTGCAATGTTTGGATTAAGGTCTGTGCACTTAGACCACATTGAAATTTTACCCCTTACTGGATATTATGTTTTTGTTTATGAGAGATTAGAAATGCTTGGGTAAACTATTAAGCATATTGTTCTAGTTAACAAATGCTTTGAGGTGGAAAAATAAATTAGCCCTAAAAGAGAGAGGTGGTTTGGGTTTTCACAGCAGTTGGTTAGAGTAGTGTTCTAAAATGTGTACTTGGATGTGCATCTGCCCAGTCTGGAAGCCCAGTTCTGTCCAAACTGAAGTTTTAATTGTGAAACTCCTCTGCATCAATAGTTGATAATACTGTCACGCCCCACAAAAGGCCTTTTGAGGACATTTGCACCTCTAGTTTAAGTTTTGGCAATGAAAAAAGGATATTTTGCCTAGGTGTATTACCAGATAATGTGGTGGCTGGATTTTCTTCAACCAAAAGCCTAAGATCTGTATAATCAGATTTTTTTGTGTTATTTTTTTTTAGAGATACAAATGAGGTGATAGGGGAGACAATGAAAATGGAGAGATGTCTCTCATTTGTTATTTACAGACCTGTTTTGGGTGAGTTTAGTGCTTTAGGAGATTATGCTTATCAGCTGACTCTTTTCTAGAGTTCAAGCCACTGCTGGTGCTCCATTGAATGGCAACCAAGTGGACCCACAAAGCTTTCTGAAACAAGAGAATGATGATGATGATTGTTTGTTTTACTTTAATAATAAAGGCTGTTTGCTCTGATTTAGTCTTTAGCTTATCTGAGACTTGACATAGAAGCCTCTTCTTTACCTTTTGCCCACATACTTGGGTAATAGATTCTGCTTGTTCCGTTGCTTATTCTACCAAATAGCAGCAATTAATTAATTGCTTAAGAGAAAAGTCATCTCCCTGAAATATATATGTACAGTTGTGTGCTTTGTTTTATTCTCAGGAAAAAAAAATGTTTTGTTTTTATGGGCTTATTTGTGCTGTCCTTTGCTTTTGGTCTTTCCAGATCATTATTTCAGAAGCACAAGCAATGATTCAGAGGATACTGTGCTACGGTTTATCACTTGTCAGTCTTTATGGAGCCAGATCAAATCCGAAACAGAGGTGAGTCTTGTGCGTCACACTAAAGTGGTGTTTTGCATTTTCAACAATGGTGCTTCCTTCTTTGTTTCTGGGGATCTTTTTGACATGCTTAAAAGTGCATGGCAGTTAGTTAAAGAGATAGGAGGGCCAGAAATATTGACTGTCCAGGATATAAAGTAGTAATAATAAATGCATCAGGTACTTACATGTGTGTACTTACACATGTAACCACAGAACTGTGCTCTTTTGCTGCTTCAAGCTGCTGGTTCTAAGCTTCTCTTCCTGCTAATTGTCTTCTTTATTAAATCCTTTATTAACAGCATACTGCTGTTTCAGTTCAGTTAATGCTTGCCAGCCCTCTAAGGATTTTAGGCTGGTCTTGAACTCAGTGTTCCAGAATTCAAACACAGCAGCCCAGGATTCATAGTGGATTTATGTGAACGCAGCTTCATGGATGTCAGATACGGAATGACACCGCTGCCAAATATG